TCTGTAGTGGTGTTCACCTGTAATCCCAGCCACTCAGGTGGCTGAGGCAGGAGGATCACAAGTTCAAAGCCAGCCTCAGCACATTAGTGAGGGACTTAGCAACTCAGTGAGAACTTGTCTCTAAATAAAATATAAATAAATGAATAAATGTATGTCTGGGATACTGCCTGTGGTTGAGCACTCCTGGGTTCAATCCCCAGCACCAAAAAACAAAACAAAACAAAATAACAACAAATAAACCCAACAACAACTGCACAAGAAAGACCCTGGGGAGGAAGGGAGAGCGGCAAGGCACACCTGGGATCAGTCCTTAGGGGTGGAAGCAGCTTCCCACAGGGAGGAGACAAAAGATGGTGTCATTTGTGGAATACATGTAAAATGAGGATACCAAGAGAGCTGGTACAGGTTTTCAAGTAAGGTAGGGAAAGCTGCACAGTGGGTAAAGGGGAGTGTAGGCAAAAATAACCCAAATGGTTTTGACACCATAATAAAAGCACAAATAACCGGGATGGGAGCAGACATCATGGATCAGCTGTGCCTTTTATTCAGTACCGGAGTTAATCATTGAAGGGGCCCACATTCTAGGTAGAAAATGGTCCCCGATTATAGGAAAGGTATGGGTTTATATAGGTTACATTGAGAGGTGACTCAGTCCTTGAAGACTTTTAACAGGATGTGGGCAAAGGTTGCAAACATCTGAATTTGTTTTTTCTGGACACAGGTTTTCTTTTTAATTTATTTTTTATTAGTTCTAATCAGTTATACATGACAGCAGAAAGCTTTTCGATTCATTGTATATAAGTGGAGCACAACTTTTCATTTCTCTGGTTGTACATGATGTAAAGTCGCACCACAAGTGCAGTCATACATGTACCTAGGGTAATGACGTCCATCTCATTCCACCATCTTTCCTACCCCCGTGTCCCCTCCCCTTTCCTCAGTTTTTATTAGGCAGTGTTTTTACAGGGCAGGGATGGAGGGTTCAGAGTTCGGGTCCAGTGTTCCTCTGACCTCCAGGGGTCATTGTATTGACACAGGGAGAAGATTGATGTGTACTTTCACTGTCACTGAGAGAGAATTTACTTGGGAAAGGATCCCTCTTCCCAGGGACTGCTATTTTTGGATTGATGATTATCTCCTTTCCAGGGTTTTCTTGTCACTGGGAGATGATTGATTGAAAGATCAAAGTTTTGGCTTCTCTCACCCTCCCTCCTCCCAGGTCACACACTCTCTGGGGGCATATCCTTTAGGGAGTCTGCTTTTTTAAAAGTTGGAGACACACATCACTTGGTGAATACTGTGTAGAAAGTTCCTGAAGCACAATAATGGAAAACCAATTACTTTTTCTCACAAGCCTGTGAGTGTCTGTGTCCACCTATCTAGGCTGGCCAGGGAGGATCTGCCCACATATTTATTTGGTGGTGGCAGAAACACAAAAGAACAAGTGGAAACACGGGCTCCTTAAGGCCTGATGTCAGAACTGGATGGAGGGCATTTCGGCTGATTTTGCTGAACCCAAAGTCAAGGGTGGAGCAACACATTCTCTACCTGCAATCAGAGGAGCTTGCAAAGCCATTTGATGAAGGGTGGGAAAAAAGAGCAGGCGGAGGGCTGGGGCTGTGGCTCAAGCAGTAGCGCGCTCGCACGCTCTCGCGCTTGCCTGGCATGTGTGCGGCCTGGGTTCGAGCCTCAGCACCACATACAAACAAAGATGTTGTGTCCGCCAAAAACTGAAAAAAAAATATTAAAATTCTCTCTCTCTCTTAAAAAAAAAAAAAAAGAACAGGTGGAAAATTGGGGCCACTGAAACCTCTACCATAGGAGACAAGCAAAGTTTTGGGATGGAAAGAAAGAAGATGTCAGAGGGGGAGTGATTGGACCATATTTAATGAGTATTGTGAAGATTATGATTTTGGAGCAAAATAAGTTAATGTACCAGCTCTGCCAATGACTAGCAGCGCAGTTTTGGGTAAATCATTTAATTGGAGACTGCATCTCCTGATCTGTTTTTTGGGGGGATACTGGGGATTGAACTCAGGGGCATTAAAACCACTGAGCTACATCCCCAACCCTTTTTTTGTATTTTTATTTAGAGACAGGGTCTGAGTTGCTTAGTGCTTTGCATTTGCTGAGGCTGGCTTTGAACCTAAGATCCTCCTGTCTCAGCCTCCCAAACCACTGGGATTATACATGTGCACCACTGTGCCTGGCTCATCTCTTGATCTCTTGATTGATTGAAGGATCAAAGTTTTGGCTTCTCTCGACCTCCCCCCTACCAGGTTGAAATGATAATCTCTACTTTGTGGTGTGAAAAAGTAAATGAAGTAATGTGACAAGTGCTCTTCCACAGCATGCAAACCTCAATGACACAGGGACCGTGGGAGGCTGCCATGGGACAGTGGGAACACAATGGCCACTTTCAAGCACTAAGGGCATTCTCGTGGTGGCGGAGGATGAGACAAAGAAGTCTGTGTTATGAAAGGACCAGAGATGGAAATGAGCAGAGGGAGGGAAAGGGGTGGCCATAACAATAACATTTTAATAATGAAATCAGTTATGCCGATATGGCAATTTCTTCATTGCTGGGATGTTAGCACCAAGGCTGGCTGACCTGCTCTTTAGAGAAGAGCTAAAGAAGAAATGTCCCTGAAGACAGGTGGCTGGATTGATCAGCAGGCTCTGGACCAAGGGCAGTCTACCATCCCAAACATTCAAAGGCATTTGGTGTTAGCAGGCCAGAGATGCTGAACTCCAGTGATTCTCAGGACAATCTCAAACAGTGGGGAACAATTGCACTCAGCCTGCCTATGGTGCCCCTGTGGATAAACACCAGACTAATGACTCCAGAGTTCCAGTTCCAGTGGGCCACGTCAAGCAGGGAGAGCAGGCTGGGCCTCGGCCCAGGGACAGAGTTGGAAGTTCAGTCACCTGTGGACCTTATGTTGCGTTCATCTGAAGGTGATGAACAGTTGGTGTGTGCCACTGAAACGCATCTCAGAGTGCTTCTGTGTGGGTTTCAGCTGTGTTACATCTGGTGTGTCTGATAAACTCTCCGGCCTGGTTTTTCTGACATGGGTTTAATACACCTTAGGTGCTTTGATTTAATCCGATTAGTTCACAGGTGGTCATTTTTGTTAGTACAAGTATTAGTTTGTGCCTGATGGTTGTGCTGGGCAGATGGTGGTTGTTTACTTGGACAAAAAAAGGCGTAAAGTCATTCTACCTCAGCACTTAAAGTCAAAAGGGAGAACTCACGTTAAATGACTGCTTTATAAAATGGAGTCACTTATGTGCTGTGTTTTCAGCACAGTCTGAAAACGGCTGTTCTGTTCATCATGGAGTGACTCCGTACAGGGCACAGCCTGCTGTTCACAGCCATCCTAACTGGAAAAGAAATTGACTTCAGAAAAATCTTCGATATGACTAACACAAGAGCAAAATTTTATAATCTAAATAGAAAAATTATACTCAAAGTTTTATAAAATGACCATGAATACATCTGAGGATTGTATAAGTGTTATGAGAAAGTTGTCAGGAACATAAAATCATCAATTATTCTATCATGTAGAGAGAGCCTGCTTGAAGACAGCACATGGGGCCGGTGGTAGAGTGCTTGCCTAGGACACGGAAGGCCCTGGGTTCCCTCTTCAGCACCACATAAAAGTAGCAACACAGGCCAGGCACAGTGGCACAGGCCTGTAATCCCAGTGGTTCCAGAGGATTGTGAGTTCAAAGCCAGCCTCAACAAAAGTGAGGTGCTAAGCAACTCACTTAGAGACCTTGTCTCTAAATAAATAAAGTACAAAATAGGGCTGGGGATGTGGCTCAGTGGTTGAGTGCCCCTGGGTTCAATCCCTAGAACCCACCCCCTTCAAAAAAAAAAAAAAACAGTAACAGCAATAACACAAAGTTCACTGAAACGAAGAGCACACATTTACTAACTGTTTTGTTTTCTCTCTGAAGAAACCTGGCCAGGCAGTTGCACTACTGCCTTCCTATTTTGCCAACAGCATTCACATTTTCTTGATTTGAGGGCTTGAGTAGTATAGTTCAGCAAATATCTGCTGCTGCTGTTAGTTTCTGACACATTTTGCAAAGGACACCTTGGCCCTGCACCCTCGTCATCCTGTTCCCTTCAGTTTATCCAGAACCAGCATCATCTGCAGGCAGGAGGAGGAAGTGGCCAGAGAAGGGCCATTCAGTCTGCCTGCAGGTGTCGACCAATTACCAAACCACCAGCAATGGCTCCTTAAAAAGATTCTCAGAATTTTTGGGAGAGTTCCTGATGGTGTCCGATTCTGGGTAATCCCCAGGAGACAGGTGGGCAGGAAGAAATGAGGTTTGTCACTTTGGCAGCAACGTTAGCCAAGAAAGGGAGAGCCTCCCTGGCTGGAAATTATCTGAACGCGTGAGCCTTCCACCCAACAATGGGGAGATGGGTTGAGCATTATTCGATTGGCTATCACAGTGGCTTCTCCTTGCATGTGAAGATAAAGCTTTAAACTTTTGTAGTAAAACACACTTGCCTAAAACCTCTCAGATTTGCCACTTAAAATTTGGGTTTATGGATTAGAACTGCAACTTCTTAGGAAGCATCATCAAAGCTTCAATGTGAAGGTCCCTGGACTGTTATCGGTAAGAATAAGAAAGGTGAAAAGTTCCACAACAAGTGGTGGGTGGTCTTGGGGACAACCCATCACCACGTACCATTCTCAGGAATCTTCTGAAAGACATGCTTCACCAAATTGAGAGAGGGAATCAGATGAAAGAAAAAGATGAAGGCTCTCTCCAGGGTGGTTGTGGAGAGAGCCCCATAAAACATGGGAACAGAAGGTCAATGGAACCATAGGTTCAGACTGGAGATAGTCAGAAGGCCCTGTGAGGGATTTCTTCTAGAAGGATTTTTGAGGATACCTAATGGGTTGGAACATACTGGGAAACTGTACAACTGAGAGAAGAGTTTGGCTACAGATTCGTAATTAAATAGAAGACCAAGCAACTCCCACCACCAAAATACAAATTTTTAATTCAGGAAAGGGAGTTCTACATGGAAAGAAAAAGTAATCATAGAATACAACATGACAAAGCTCTGACTAGTATTTACATAGTCACAACAGTGAATTTTGGGACAACCACAATAAAATTCTAACAGTATTGGGAGGATGGAAAAAGGGAAGTATATGGAGAGAGGGTGAGGTGAAACTAAATTTTCCATGGTAGAAATTAAAAAGATAATGCCTAAAACCAAAGAATAAAACTATTAAGGGACAACATAGGCACGTGAGTTGGATATTTGGAAATGAATACCAAAAATATCAGTTTGGTTCAAGACCAGTGACTCAAGTCTGTAGTTCCACCCACATGAGAGGCTGAGGCAGGAGGATAATGTAAGACCAGGAGTTCTAGGCTGGCCTGGGCAGCACACTGAGGCCTCATCTAAAGTAAATAAATAAGCAAGCCTCATGTCTTTGAGGAGGGGTGACCTATAGGACAGGGAGATTATCATTTCAAAGTTTCTGAATTAAATTATTATATAGAAATACGATGTTCTTAAGATGTTGATGGACTTTTATTTTATTCATTTATTTATATGCAGTGCTGAGAATCGAACCCAGTGCCTCACACATGCTAAGCACGCACTCTACCACTGAGCCACAACCCAAGCCAATAGGCCTCATTTTTAACTGGGCCTATTGAATATTAGTGGGGTTTGTTTTACTTAGGTGCAGAATATTCAATAAATTGACTTACATGACAGAAAATTTCTGCATGATATTAAATAGATTCATTGATTTTTAAAATATCTTTATTTATTTATTTATATGTATATGAGGATTGAACCCAGTGCCTTGCACGTGCTAGGTGAGCACTCTACCACTGAGCCATAACCTCAGCCCTCATTGAATTTTTAATGGTGAATAGTAATTGCATTAAAAACATCCATGACTTTAAGATACATGTCAGTGCTAATTCAAGCAATTAAAGGCTACTTGGCTAACCAATAAGATAAAATTATTCTGAACAATATATTCTATCCATGCTGCCTATGCCAACTAAGACCATGTGGCAGATATTTCAGGTTTCTATACTGGGAATCAACTATAAGAAATTTAATTATTTTTTCCAGAGAGAAGTAAGTCAAGCTTGATTCTTTATATGATATCCCCATTATGACCAGAACCCCACCCAATTCAATTGAATTGAATTTCTGATTGATTGATGTAGTGACTAAGTATAGCAACTCCTTTGGTCTTCCATTGGTTGGAAAAATTATTGCAGTTTAGGAGTGTTTGCAAAATTGTCTGGTTTATTCATATACATCAGTTACTTGGAAAACAAGCAAAACAAGACAGAAACTAAGGTTTTACTACTCCCCTCCTAATTTAAAATTGGGGTCTGGGGCCAGGCTTGGAGGCGCATGCCTGTAATCCCAGCTGCTCTGGAGGCTGAGGCAAAAGGATGGTGAGTTCAAAGCCAGCCTCAGCAAAAGCAAGGTGCTAAGCAACTCAGTGAGTCACTGTGTCTAAATAAAATACAAAAAATAGGAGTGGGGGTGCTGGAGTTGCACATATGCGAGTGTTCAATTCTCGGCACCACATAAAAATAAATAAAATAAATATATAAAAAAAAATTAAAAAAATAGGGGTGGGGAGGTGGCTCAGTTGTTGAGTGCCCCTGAGTTCAATCCCTGGTACCTCGTGTAGGGCACGTCACATCAGAGAAATAGAAACCTATGATGGAGAAAAGGAAACCTAACTTGCAGACTGATGCTCACTTCCTGGTCTTGGGGCCGCACATGGCTAAGACGGCACCTGGCGATCAGCCAGAAGGCGTTGCCTGGGTTGTGAAGAAAAATCGGACCACCTCTAGGATAGGCTCAGAACCCTTCCGCCCTCGTGGACAGGTGGACAGCTCGTGTCTCCCCTGCCTGCCTGTAGGATGGGTGTACACGTGAACTCTCCTCACCCTGCTGACCTTTATCCTGATTGGCTCCTGTGCCTTATATTAGCTGCTGTGTGTGCTTCCTCAATAAACGAGCTCCAGCCTTGACTGGTCTCCTTGATGCATCTGATTGTCCTCCAGGAGGGAGGGCTGGGTGGGGGCTGTTAGTCGGCCCTCTCCTTTCTTGGCTCATCCTGGCCGGGGCGCTCTCCCCAATCTCTCCGGCAGGTCAGGAGGGGCTAGAAACCCCGACACCTCCCACCAAAAAAAAAAAAAAACCAACACTGGGGTTGTGGCTATAGCTCAGTGGCAGAGTGCTTGCTAGCATGTGTGAGGTGCTGGGTTCAATCCTCAGCACTACATAAAAATAAACAAAATAAAGGCATTCTGTCCATCTACAACTATAAAAAAAATTTTAAAAATTGGAGTCGGGATGTGGTTGAGTGGTGGAGTACTTGACTAGTTGGTGCGAGGCCCTGCATTCAATCCTTGGTACTGAAAGGGGAACAAAAGCAAAAATTGGAGAAAAATGCAAACTATTTTTTACCTACTCTGTAATAAATACACACACACACACACACACATATATATATGTGGGTGTGTATTTTTGTACTGGGGATTGAACGCAAAAGTGCTTAACCACTGAGCCACATCCCCAGCCCTTTTTATATTTTAATTTGAGACAGGGTCTCACTAGTTTGCCTACAGCCTTGCTAAGTTACAATTCTCCTGCCTCAACACCCAAGCTGCTAGGATTACAGACATGTATCACTGCGCCCAGCATAAACACAATTTTTAAAAAGACTTTTAAAAGATGATTCTGAGGAATTGGTCATCCTCAGATTTTGATACCTGATTGTAAAAAGCCCCCAGTGCAATTGTTATACTAAATGAGATGTTCTTAGGCCTAACATGGGTTTTTGCAGTTATGTACAAACTTTTTTATGTCAGTGGTTTTCACTGGAGGCCAGGGATGTGGCTAACATTCTAAAATGCACAGAGCAGCTTCACAGAATATCAGAATCCCAAGTGTCAATTGTGCCAAGTCTGAGAAACCCTGGTCCAACTTGATTTCCTTGTGTTATAAAAACAAAACTGTAACAGAGCCAACACAACAATTCCAGGATATCAATAAAAGGTTTCAAAATTGAGAAAAATTTCTGAATAACTCATTGCTTTGTGTAAACTTCAGCAAAATTTTTTTCAGAGTAGTCTATTAATGGATGAATCAAACTTTTCAAAATTCCATTTTGTGAATTAAGATTTATATTTTTTCTGTTTCAAAAAGTATCCAAAGCATTTCAAGCTGAGAGCCTAGCGTAGGGTGCCCAGGAGTTGAATAAATAAATGATTCCAAACATCTAAATGTTAGCCAGAAACAGGAAGCCTGCATTTCAGGGGCTGTAACTCAGAATCTCCTTCCCAGGTGGTAAGGCAGATCTCCCCATCCCAAGTGAGGACACTTCTGCCACCAGGTTCTGCTGCAGGCCAGGCGTACCTGGTAGGGGGTCTGCTCCACCAGAGGAGTCAGAAAACCTTGGCCCAGCAGACCTCCCCTACCTCACATAAGGGCAGCTGGTTTCCTCTTAGGAAAACTATCACAGAATTATTAGAGAATTAAGAAATCAGATACAGAAAGACTACAAAGAATGTTTTAAAAGGAGGCTTAGGGGCTGGGGTCATAGCTCAATGGTACAGTGCTTGCCTAGTATGTGTGAGGCACTGGATTCAATTCTCAGCACCACATATAAATAAAACAAAATAAAGGTCCATTGACAACTTAAAAAAATTTTTAAAAAAGGAGGCTTAATCTCAGCTGTCTGGGTAACAGTCCTTGGAGGCTCTAGGGCTGGATTTTAAAACCCTGCTGTCCTGCAGTGAGCATGGATGATCTTTCAGAAAACCACAATGTGCTCTCAAGCAAATGTAGAAAAGATGCAAAGAAAGGTTCTACCTCAGATCTCAAAACAGGACTAAACTCCCAAGTGGTAACATATATTAATTCTGCATATTAGGTACATGAGTAAAGTATTTGTTATAACTATTTGTATTTTTTTATGTATCTGAAATATTTTATAATAATGATAGCAAAAGAGCAACAAGACTTCAGGGATGTTACACATGAAATAAAAATACTGCATTGATGTTTACTTTAGTTCTAAAACATACTAGCAATGTGCTCAGCTCATTGTCATGTGACCATTATAGGCAATACCAGGACTCTTAAGGAATACTCGAAAGTGTGTCAAAAGTAGGTTGTTATGATCAATCCTAGGACGGACCCATTCATGAATAAAAAGAGGAAGCCTTATGAGTAAATGGCATATTTTCAAACTCAGTAAGTTGAGGTAGAAAAAATAGAAAAGCCAGATTAAAAAAGTTTTACCAGTAATACAATAAAAACACATAAACCTGTATCTACTCCCATTACAGACATGAAGTAAACCAGATGAGTGCTTAGCTACCTCCAGCAGGGCTATTCTTTACTAAGTATGAATTTACCATTACCTTCTTCATCTTGCTAAGGGATGAAATCTCTTGCCTGGGAATTTGCAGAACTGAGTCAACACTGCCACATATAGTTTCTGCAAATCCAGGTGGTTTCTGGGTCCAGCTCTGCAATGCTTGGGGGCAACCCAATCATCCCCTCACAGAGTAATCTCCACCTCCTCTGCTTTCTCTCAGTTCACCTCAACCCTGGTGTTTGGATAATGAAACAGCTCAGCACTGTGACCTCTACAAGGCTCTTTCCACGAAATATCAATGTTTTATTTCCATAGTTTCCTGATTATATACTTTCCTTCCTGATATCCCACCCCAATACAAAAATCCATAAAATCTAGCAGTATATATTTGACTTCTGAGTCTCACAAAATATTTGTTGATTGGTGTATCAGATGAACTAGAAGTATAAAACAATAAATCAAAGAACTTATGCTTGTATTACAATAATAAAGCAATTCGGGAGATGAGCAATCTTAGAATTTTTTTTTCTTGTGGTGCTAGGGATTAAATGGAGTTTTTATGTTGATAAGTATTAAAGAATAGCTTAACTAGTGTTTTTCAAATTAGCATTAGTTGTCTTTAAAGGTACCCCCCCCACACACACACACACACACACACACTCCATCTTCCATGATCTATGTCTATGGAAAATGTTTTTGGCAGTTCTCAACTGTGTGGTATGATGACTTTGAATTCCCAGTGGACCTAAGCAGGCTGCTGTGCAAGCCAGGCATCTGGTTGACATTTGGATTGTCCTGTGCCTAACTCTGAAAAAGTGGTAGGAGGTCCCACGTGATGCTGTGGAAAGGAGGGGGACAAAAAAGGGCAAATCTCACCACCTCTTCCCAGTCCTCGAGCATTCTCATGAGGTATCACTCCCCAGGCCTGTTGGCCTTCCTCCTAACCAGGAAAGTCTAAAACATGATGATTCTTCAGACTAATTTTCTGAGTTTCTCAGCAAATAAAAATTGAAGAAATCAGCCAGGTACATTGACACCTATAATCCCTGCTACTTGGGAGGCTGAGGCAGGAGGATTACAAGTTTAAGGCCAGCCTGGGCAACTTAGCCAGATACTGTCTCAAAATAAAATTTAAAAAGGGGCTGGGGAGGGACTGGGGATGTGGCTCAAGTGGTAGCGTGCTCGCCTGGCATGCGCGGGGCGCTGGGTTTGATCCTCAGCACCACATACAAATAAAATAAAGATGTTGTGTCCACCGAGAACTAAAAAAAAAAAGGGGGGGGGGCGGGGACCTGACTCAATGGTAGAGTACATGCCGAGCATGTTCAAGGCCCTGGAGTAAATCCTCAGCACTGCGAAAAAAGAAATCAGAGAGAAAAATTCAGAAGGGATGTGTTTACTTTTAAGGCTTTGAGTGCTCTTGAGGTTTGCAAATATTCCTAGCAGGCCTCCCTTTTGCAGTTAGACACTGTATTGGTCATATGGAGGGGAAAATTATATTGAGGAAAGCATTTATTAATGGAATTCTAAAAATGCTGGTTTCAATATCCCACATTCACATATTTTTCTATTTACATAATGACCAAATTTGAGACTTACTGCCAGTAATCTCAAGATTTAGTGACATCAAACAGCAACACTGCCTCAGAATAACATTTTCTTTCTATTGCTACCCAAAATTGTAGTGTAACTGGCCTCTAGTCCAACAATCACTGTGAAATAAAAATTTAGGAGAAATTAACATCTTATTTATTTATTTACTTTTGCAGTGCTGGGAATGTAACACAGGGCTTCGTACATGCTGGCTAGTACTTTACCACTGAGCTAGACCTCCAGCCCAAGAGATTACTAATTTTAAAAATATAGTTTCAAAATGGAGACTTTAAGACAGTCCCAATTCAGTAATTTTTGAATGCTAGAATGATTTTAGGTATAAACATGACCCTTCTGGTTATCTATACATGGATTCTTAAAATATGAACAGATTGTCACTTATTTCCCTGGACAGTTTACTAATTCTCACCCTTGTAATCCAAAGGAATTAATATTTCTCAAAAGATATGTAATTCCCTGTTGAGATATGACTCCAGTGAGCCAGCCCCTTTCAAACTGGCTGTATAAATAGAAACTGAGATAAACAGAAATCCATCCCTGTTGGTGATGACACTGATCTCATTAAAGCATTAAACACATTGCCATATTCTGAAAAATACACAAATAAGTCTAAAATAAAAATGTCCTCGTCAACATAATTCATATCCTAACAAACTTTTCAATGGTTCACGAAATCCATCCTCATTTTCTGAGTTAACAAGGCTGAACTTTAGAGGTGCAACAACCAACTCCTGAGGCCGTCACTGCAGCGTGGAGAGGCCCTCCGAAGGCTTTCCCAGACATAGCTTCTTGCGGTGCTGCTCCTCTCTCCCAGGCAGGGCTCTCAACACACCGTCTATCATGCAAGAACAACTTCATGTCAGAAAACATCACTTCAAACTCATGGGGACTTGCTGCAGGCACACAGGTTGGAAGAGCAAAACAGTGCTTCAGGTAAAGGACCATTCATTTTACTTTACCTTCAAATTCTCAACTGCTTCAATATTCCACTTAAATGTTTATTTCTCCAATCAATACTGAATCTAGATAACTCAAAGGTAATACAATGTCTGGTGATTTTTAAAAAACTGGATTCACTCCACAGTATACGGCAAATACTAAATACAACTTTTTTTGGGGGAAAGGCACTATTATTAGGCTGGAAGAAACAGAAATCAATCCCTGTTCGTGATTACACTGGTATCAAAGTTTTTTTTTTTTTACGTTAGTAGAAAATCTGTTCTTCCAGGGGATGACTGGTCCTTTCACTTTCTTTCTTTCTTATTTATTTAATCTTATGTGGTGCTGAGGATCAAAATCAGGACCTCGAAAATTAATGCACTTACTTATCCTCCAGAGAGAGGATGGCAGCACCTGTGGGGCAGGGTACAGGGGGACTCTCCCACTCCTATTCCTCTAAGTACGGAAAGTGGCCTTATCCAATAGGGCAGGCTGGGAGAAGAGCCTGCCTTAACACCTTCCTGGATTTTCTTTTTACTAGCTTTGTTGGTACCAAAAACCCTCTTATGTGTTTAAAGTATACAATAAACTGAGCATATTTACAGTGTTCAGTTTGATGAGTTTGACATGGTACACATCTATGAAACCGCCACCACAGTCAAGTCAATGAATACACCCGTCACCTGCAAGTCTCCTCCTGCCCTTTGCTTCTGTGCTCTTGAGGTATCTGCCTGCCCTCCAAGCCGGTGTGTTCCGCTCTGCTGTTTCCCAGTCCCAAGGACAACTGGTTCTGGCTTGCCTTCCAGAGTGGATCTGGAAGCCCCCCTCTCTCAATTGTCTTTTTATGTAATATTTGAAACATAAAAAAAGAGAATATATGTAATACAGAAGGAAGGTCTAAAGCCCAATAATAAAATAAACACTTAAGAACCTACTGCTCCAAATAATTATCTTGCTTAAATTTGCAGTAACTGTTTGCATAGAAGAGAAAAAATTAAACGCTACTGTCCCAAATAATGGCTACAACATTATCAGTTGCCTTCCTTCTCTCTTCTCATCCCCTCTCCCCATTCAGATGTAACCACTATCTTGAATTTTGTGTTTATCTTTCTATTGTTTCTTAAAAACAATTTTACCACATACATTAAACAATATGCTATTTGCTTTCTTTTTAAACTTTATACAGAAATTAAAAAGATAGTCTTCTATATTTTTTTGTTCAACATTTATCTTTTTGAGATTCACCTGTGTCAAAGAATGTAGCAATAGTTCACTTATTTTCACTGTTATGTTTAGTTCATTGTGAGAATATACTATATTTTAAATGTAATCTCACAAGCTAAATATCTGTGTCATTTTCAGTTTTTGTTTTTAAGAATAACATTACAATGAATTTGTTATATTTTGGTCTTTTATACAAGATGCAAGATTTCTTAGAAGTTGAAATTACTGGATCATGGAGTACATGCATGTTCAGCTTTACAAAGATAATGTCTAATTATTTTCCAAGGTGGCTGTAAAACTTTCAATCTCCCTAGCAACATATAAAAATTTCTAATAATCCACATCCTCACTAGCAGTTGGTATTGGCAAATTTGAATTGTATAAATCCAATAGGTATAAAAACATTGCTTCAATGTGATGTTAATTGGCCTTTCTCTGACCACTACTGAGTATGATCATCTTTCATATGTTTATCAGACATTTACATTTCTGCTGATGTAAATACCAAAAAGTAACATTTTTCTATTAATTTTTATCCTTATCAGTTAGTAGAATTTTTTTACGTTAGTGGAAAATCTGTTCTTCCAGGGGATGACTGGTCCTTTCAATTTCTTTCTTTTTTATTTATTTAATCTTATGTGGTGCTGAGGATCGAAACCAGGACCTCGAAAGTACTGTACCGCTGAGCCACAACCCCAGCCCCCTTTCACTTTCTTTATAATGTCTTTTGGAGAAGATAAGCCCTTACCTGGAATGTATTCTATAATTTGTCAAGTTTTTCTTTTATAGTCAGCATTATTTGTATTCTGCATAAGTTGTTCTTCCTATTTCAGGTCATAAAAAATTCTGTATTTTCTTCTAAAACTTGAAATTTGCTTTGTTTCTTTAATTCATATGGAATTTTGAGTATTATGTGAGGTAAAAATTCATTATCAGTTTTTCTACATGCATTAACCATTTTCCAGCACTACATATTAAATAGTTTATCATTGTGCCTGTGATTTGCATGGCCCGCTCTGTTAGGGATGCCAAATGTCCCATAATCCATGGGGCAATGCCCCGCACTAGAAAGCTTTATCAATCAAAATACCAACAGTGTGCCCTTCAGTAAATAGTGGCTTAACTCATCCACTGACTTTTTAACAACTGTACTTTTTTCAGTGTTATAAGAGAAGTCTAAGTATAACATGATATAGGAATGTGCAGGAGAGAGATCTTTTCCAGTTAAGAGAACCAGAGAAGGTCCTGATGTAGTTTCTTGGACCACGGTAACATGGATTCTTTCTTCCCCAAACTCCTTTCTGTGCAAGTGAAATATCTCTAGTCTCTTTACAAACATCCCTTGGGAGAGAGATGCTTGCCTCCTAAATGCCACCTCAATCAAAGCATTACATGGAGGGAGGCTACCCATCAATATTCCTCCTGTGACATCTTGTGCTCCCACCTCCATGGTGACAGGGAGCTTACTGCCTCATGAGGGAGGACAATTCTGGACAATTCAGACTATCACTGAGAGTTTTTCTCTTTGTCAAGCCGCGATGTGTGTCGCTGTGGTTTCCACCACTGGTTCTACATTCTGTGGTTTGGTTGACTCCCATGATCGCAACACACCAAGACACACTTCACACACTTCCTGGACACTTCTCCTCACCAAGGTAGACATTTATGATTCTTCTTCCTGGTTTAAAGTGGTGGTATGACAAAGCAGAAAAGCATAGATTCTAGAAATAGACTACTGAGCTTTGAATTCTGGCTTTACCACTCATGGGCTGTAGATCTTTGGTCTAGTTACTTCACTTCAAGGAGCTTCAGCTTCTTTATTTGCCTAATGAAGATAATAACATCTATCATAGAGGGTTATTGCAGAGATAAATTGCAATAATCCACAAGAAGGTATTATCAGCATCCCTAGGAAATGAGGATGCTTCCCCAAAGCATGAGAGGATTCCATGAGATGACTCTGGTAGACATGTTTCATAAAATGCTCTCCATGTAAAATATCACCAGGAACTTAGCAAGTGCACTTTACCTTCAATTTCAGGGTTTCTCTCTCTTTCCCTTGACACTTTATGCCAAGATATATCCATGAAAGTACTATATTGGTCCCAAAGATTATAATGCCTGTAAAATGGGACTCAAAGCAAGTAATGGAAGAAAAAAACAAGCCTCTCAACTTATAGCAAGTGCCCATTCTTTAAAAACTGCCTTTTCTTTAAATTCTAGATTACACTAGGGCAACCTGTTAGAAAGAACACTGAAAATCTTGGAAAACTGGACCTGTCAGGAACTGACCTTGCACAAGTCACTCTGCCCTCTCTGATCCTCTAACCACTTCTAACAAAGGGGCCAGACCAGATAGTTATTAACAAAAAGCAATGTATAAGATGCACTTTCTAGAACCCAAAACCTGGCCTCAAATTTCAGTTCTGGTGGTTTAGAGCCTTGACCTCTGTAAGTCTTGGTTCCTCATCTATGTAACAGCATTAATAAAAGTACTTATCTAGGGGGTTGGGGCTGTAGCTCAGTGGCAGAGCACTTGCCTGGCATGTGTGAAGCACTGGGTTTGATCCTCAGCACCACATAAAAATAAACAAATAAAGGTGTTCTGTTTACAACTACAAAAAAAAAAAATTAAAGTACCTATATAATATGGCTGTCTGGATTTTTTTTCCTTCAAATTCTATCAGATTCTTTTCAAAATTATCCACTCTGTACTAAACATTTTTTTTTTTTAAATGTTAGGGATTGAACACAGGAGCACTTAACCACTCAGTCACATGCCCAGTCCTTTAAAAGAGTTTTATGTTGAGACAGAGTCTTACTAAATTTTTTAGGGCCTCAATAAGTTGCTGAGGCTGACTTTGAACTTGTGATCCTCCTGGCTCAGGAGTCTCTGGAATTGCAGGCAAGCACTACCACACCCAGCTCAGATTTGATTTTTTTTTAATGGCTTGTTTATTTTAGATTGTCTTTTCAAAAAGTATATTTTACTTCTTAAACATTTTATACTGTCTAGTTGATAACACCAGAACAGGAAGTCCTCAGGAGTCTCACTATGCTGTTTGCCATTTCTGTTCAGTCTCGCTCATGGGGATATATCTTCTATTTGTTGACTTTTCAGTAATGAACTAATGGACTCATTATACCCTGTGGGCCTCAGCTGGGAAGGTTTTCCTTCTGACAGAATCTGCATTTGCTTCTGCCAGCAGTTAGGAGGTGCCGCTGAGAGGGGGTCTTTTAGCTTCCTTTGAGGACTCCCAGCTTAATGTCGGAATCTGAGGTTCAGTTTGCAATCTTGCAGCAGACCCCCCACTTCCTCTCAAGAGCCCAGCTGCTATGGACATTGGCTTCTGTGTTTGCTTACTGTTGCTTTTTATGTTCGGGCAAATATTCCTTTTATCTCTATTACTTATTTATTTTTGGAAGGGAGTATGCGTTCCTGGATAGTTCCTTCATTTCCTTGAAAGCCCAACAATTCTTTGCAAAGAAAGCCTGAGTTGTGTTATTTGGGTTCCAGCTCTCTAGCGGGGAGGACGCCTGAGAGCCAGCAGTCCATCGCACTGCTACCTGCCTTCGGCTTCCATTCCTGGTGCTGGCCTTGAGAGGACGTGAGGCAGCAACCCCCACTGCCTCCCAGAGCGCGACACATTGATTTGGCCAAATGTCAAGCTTCAGCCCAGCAATAAAGCTGGGATTTCAACTTTCATCTGTTTGATTCTTATGTCTGCTTCTCGACAGAATGAAAAACTGTAAAGGAGCTACATGCTGTATGATTCCATTTATATGAAATGGCCAGACTAGATTAATCCATAAAAACTTAAAGTAGACCAGTGGTTGCCTAGGGCTGGGGGAGAGCGACTGAAAAGAGTACAAGGTTTCTTTTTAAGTCAATGAAAATTTTGTGAAATTGGGTTGTGGTGATGGCTGCATAATTCTGAACATAGTAAAATCGACAGAATTCTAGACTCTAAAAGGGGTGAATTTTTGATATATGAATATCTTAATAAAGCTGCTATATGATTGAAAAGGCGATAAGGATATTATTTACTAACATAAAACACTTGTTCAAAAATGCATGAAAACATAAACATACAGTTAATGAACTGTCAAAAAGTAAACATACATTTAGCCATTATCTAGGTCGATAAATAAAACATTGCCAGTGAACCAGATGCCTTCTTCTGTCCCCTCCTTCCAATCTCAGGACTTTTATCCTGGATAAGGCCTATCATTGACTCTAAGTAGTAAATACTTTCTATTTCATGCCGTGGATGGCCTCTTCTGATGAAAAGATGCTTTTAACACAGACAATATAGTTCATCTTTCTGTTTCCTTTTCCTACCTTAGGAAATTTTTAATTGAGCTTCAAACAGTGTCATTAAAAATACTATCTTTAATTAGTTATATTTTCCTTTCTTTTTCCACTACTTTTTTTCTTGATAATTTTTTTAAAAAGAAAAAACAGTGAATATGTATTTTTTCAGATTGCCAATAATAAATTTACTGTCTGAATAAAATAAAGCTAATTCAGATCACAGAAAATCAAAACATTCATATTTTCGTAGAGACCTTCATATTTCTTAATATTTCAGGGTAATCAATCCATTGTTATCAAGAAAATTTATAGTACACTTCCATTTATCTAGACTCTACAATTATAACACAGCTACTATTTTTAAATTGGATCTCCTAAAGATTATATTACTATTATCAAAATAATTGTGTTAGTGTGCAAATGACAAAACTTTTAAGACTAGTAATTTACTTATGGTATCTCTGATGATTCTTAATCAGATTATTAAAATAACAGAACATGTCCATTCTCTGACCAACCTGAGCACCTGTGGCTTTACTCTAGAAGGATATATAAGTACCGGTGTCCTCATCATTTCTTCCTAGATCCATTTGCACTAATTATATATATTTTTCATTTCTCACACCCAAGAAGCCTTTGTTTTGGTATAAACAAGAATTGTTCTTTACTGTTTCATATAAATTTATAAATTCAATTTGTCATGATTATTTGTATTAAACTGCAGAATCTACAGGAATAATTATTGATAGGTACTTTCCCCAGCATCTTGCATATAGTAGATATGCAAATGTTTTTGAACAAATTGAAAGACAAACATCTAACCTGTATAAAGAATATGATCCATCTATTATCAAAACAACTCCGTCACTTGACCTTTGACATTCACCAAGTGCCCATTTTCCTCAGCAGCTGGCCTCTAGTAGTTAGCCTCCACAGAGGACTTGAGATACTTACTTTCTTTCCTTTCAGGCTCGTTTTGTTCAAGATCATAAGCTGCAGATGGATTCAGCTGCCACTGTAAGAGGGTACAAACACTTTATTTGTATGTTTAAAAATGACTTAATAAAGAGCATTTCAGCACTCTGCTTTTAAATATCAAAACAACTTGATAAAAATACAAGAAAAAGGAGTTAGCATGTCCATATCAACAAAGTCCTAACAATACCACCTGAGTGATGCTAAATGGGATGACTTCTGGGGTCAGAATCAATACTCTTAGAGAAGATACTTTATAGTAATTTCTAAGTAAGACAGGGGGAGATTAGAGAATTGCTGTGATCTGTCTCAGGTAACAAAATAGCTAAAGGCAGTGATGGGATTAGACCTAGGCCTGCCCAAGGCCCAGAACCATGGAATTTCTACATTATATAATTTCTCTAGGACCTACTAAGTCTTATAATAGGTAGAGAAGACCTAGGTATTAAAGGCTAACAATATGGCCAATTTTACCTTGCCTTTTAATATAGTTAGATCATATAAACTATTATTTATTTTCTATCATATATAATATCAGATATCATTCATCTCCTCTGGTTGTAGTATTCTATCTCAACCACTCAGAAAGAAATAGGGAAGATTGAAGATTCTGAATATTTCAGAGAAGACTGAAATAGTAGAAAAGAAAATGGAATGTAATCGTTATCTCTAGGACAGCTCTTCCTTCCTTTCTTGCCTAATTGGAATCTCCATCGAATCACTAATGACTTAACCAAAAAGCCCTGCTGGGCCACTGTCTCTGGAAAGTGTGAATTACCTGGGAGCCTCTTTCATAAGCATCACTTAGTTCATCAGATTAACTAGTTAACATCTTGAGCCTTGAGGGGGGATGAGATACAAGACAAACATTTTACCATGCATTAAAAGTCCTTAGACTTTTGGTCACTTATAGAGATGAGATGCCTAGAATTAGCGCCAAGAAAGAGAGAATTTACAAGGGGTGGTAAGTTATGTAAGGGGGGAAAAAAGAGTTATGTTTTGAAACATGTTAAACCACTAAAACCTATTTATTTATTTGGGCAGAGAAAGTAAAAACCAATAATTCTAATTTACACTTAAGAATATTCATGAAAAGTTTCTTTATAACTGTAAAGACTTAGAAATACTCTAGCTATCCAACAACAGGGGAATGATTAAATAAATTAGGTCTCTAGGTTTGGAAGATTGTATAAATTGTCAAAAAATAATTTCTGAGGAATTTTTAACATAGAAAATACAGTAATGTTGACAGTGATATCTATGAGTTAAGGAATAATACATGTTCTTTTTTATTTTGCTACTTTCTACAATGAGCATATATTTCATAATAAAAAAGTAATACATCTTAATAAAGAAAAACTCACCTTCATTAGACAAGAAAAAAATTTTTTTGAATAACAGCACATGAATGTACACTATATAAAATCTATTCTGGAGAATAGTTTTACCCAGCTCTAACCTGCTTTTTTGACAACAACATAGAATAAAACAACTTATCTCAAGGTATATGGTTACATTTCAAAAAGAAAAGCAAATATGTTTCAAATAAAAATTAATTTACTTTAATCTTAAAACAAGTATCAAATTTATTGACACATCATACTTTTGACAGTTGAGCAAATCAAATTATTGAAATTCAAATTTAGAACAAATACTAGTTCATGTTAATTACTGGTATTTTCAAAATTAGGTGTATAGCTAACCAGTTATGCACAGATGAGGAAAGGATAAGGGAGTGGAGAGTTACTCTTCATGAAGAGAACAGAGAAAAACTGTGAGTTTCTTTATTCTCTGGAATGTGTACCTGAGCAAGGGACCTCTTGGGTGGGAGTTCCCAGTTCTGTTGGGTTTCTCAGCTCTGCCCCTGGGCTTCCCTTTGTCTTTCTTTTCTGAGTTATTCCTCCATTGCCCTTTTGATCTCTCCTTTCTCTTTACAATTCAAAATCTACTAAAATCTACCAGTAACCAAGATATTCCAGAGTTTGCTATAAGCCAACACTCACAGTCCTGAAGAGCAAGGTCACTTAACCTTTATGAAGAAAATTTGAAAAAACCCATTTCTTTACCTCTCCAGGAGGAATAAAGAGACAATCAATCAATCAGAACTGGGGATTTCTTTGACCGATTGGACATAGGTTTTTGTTTACAAGACAAGCACTTCTCTGGGGCTGGGGATGTGGCTCAAGTGGTAGCGCGCTCGCCTGGCATGCGTGCAGCCCGGGTTCGATCCTCAGCACCACATACAAACAAAGATGTTGTGTCCACCGAAAAATAAATAAATAAATATTAAAAAAAAAAAAAGACAAGCACTTCTCATCTCTCTCTTTTTTTGGCATGGCACTGCTGTTTTCTTTTTCTTTTGTGGGAGGGTACAAGGGATTGAACTCAAAGGCACTTAACCACAGAGCCACATTCCCAGCCCTATTTTGTATTTTATCTAGAGACAGGGTCTCACTGAGTTGCTTAGCACCTTGCTGAGGCTGGCTTTGAACTCATATCCTCCTGCCCCAGCCTCCTGAGCCGCTGGGATTACAGGTATGCACCACTGCGCCAGGCGGCACTATGTTTTAAAACTGTTAGGCTTTAAATAAAATAATTAAAAATCAAAAATAAAAAATGGTAAACATTTGACACTTCATATACATACAGAAACTAGGTAGTATTTTCCTATGCTTAAAGTGTATGTGCATGTATGTACATACATATATACATGTATATAAACACACATATATACATATGTACACACAGAGAATACATTTATGTTCCAAGCACCCTGGACTGAAACTGATGTACATAACAGGAATGTAAAGTTCAAAATTATAAACAGTTCTATTTTATGCTTTTTATATCCATGAATTCTAGTATATAAATGTTACATTAAATGCCACGATTAAATCATTAGATGTCATAAAAAGCAATATGTTATTATTCAGGACATGATTCTTTTGCTATGTAAAACATTATTGAATAAGTTTGTTTGTTTGTTTGTTTTTGGTTTTGTTTTTTGATGCAGGGAATCTAATCCAGGGCCTCACACGGCTAGGCAAGCACCCTACCATCACACTATATCCCTGGCCACCTGTAATCTCAGTGACTCAGAAGGCTAAGTATCACAAGTTCAAGGTCAGCCTGGGCAATTTAGCAAGACCTTGTCTCAAAAAATAAAAAGGGATTGGGATTTAGTTCAGTGGTAGAGTGCCTTTCGGTTCAGTCCCCAATGCAAAAAAAAAAAAAAAAAAGAACATTCTTAGAACAATCAGTAAATCTTGATGAATGTATAGATTAACAGCAGTAATATATCAATGCTAATTTCCTGGTTTTTGTGGTTCTGTGATTATTCCTTGTTTGAAGAAACAGAATGATTTGGCAGGTCAGCAACTTCTGGGGAAAATTTTTCTTTGTAGAGCTTTTGTAACTTTTTGTTAGCACTTTTTCTCATGAGGAACGTGTGTGTGTGTGTGTGTGTGTGTGTGTGTACAAGAGCATGCATCTTCCTGTCTTTTGGATAATCTTCAACTACTTTCACCTCTATCTACCACTCCAAGCTGAAACAGGTGAGGGAAGAAGTGAGTCAGAGCTTTTCTATTAGCCACATGATGGCACCAGAGGTTTCCCTGCCTCAAGCTAACTCTAGGTCAATTTACAACTCTACAGAAATGTAAAATTCTCTCTCTCTTTTTTTTCATTTAAAAAATTATTTATTTTTAGTACCAGGGATTGAACCCAGGGATGCTTAACCACTGAGCCTGATTCCCAGCCCTTTTAAAATATGTATGTTTTTTATTTATTTAGAGACAGGGTCTTGCTGAGTTGCTAAGGCTGGCTTTGAACTCTCAATCCTCGAGCCTCAGCCTCCTGAGCCATTGAGATTACAGGCCTATGCCATTGTGTCTTGCAGAACTATAAAATTCTTATGGCAGAGATCCTTAGTGAACATTTTTTGGTATGTAAGTACTTGCATATAAAAAATAAACTCAAAGTGGGCTGAGGTTGTGCCTCAGTGGTAGAGCGCTTGCCTAGCATGTGTGAGGCACTAGGTTTGAGTCTCAACATGGCATATAAATAAAAAAATAAAGGTATTGTGTTAATCTACAACTAAAAAAAATTAAAAAAAATAAACTCAATGATAATAATTTATTGAAACTCTTTAAAAGGATAGAAATCACTAATTTACAATACACAACAGGGTATCAAACAACATAACAGGAAATACAGTTTGAAGAAAAAGTGTATCTATCTACTTACGGTAAATTTGCTAACACCCTCAAGTTCCCCAAACCTCATGTAAGAGATGTCTGCCTTCTTTTTTCCAACATCTACATCCCCTGCATAGATTTGTTTTATGCCAGCACCTTTAATTAAAGGTACACATTCATCACATGGGCATTTTGTCACAAAAATCATGCTTCTTTCTTCTGGTTTTATTTTTTGACACCTACAAAAAAATTTACAGATTATTACAAAGGTAATTTCTGAAAGGGTAAGTTATTTCTTAAAGAGAAATTCTTAAATTTTAATGTTGAGTTGTTTTAAAAATAGATTCACATTATAAACAATAATCAAGCCTTACTCTTGTTAAATTAGTCAATCAATGTTCAAAATCTGTAAAAACCTGACAATCACTATAACTTAAATTCATTTAAGCTGTTGGCAAGGTGTTCAATATAAAATAAATAAAATAAATAAAAACAGAAAAAGAAGGAGGGAGGAGAGGAAGGGAGGGAATAGAATGGAGAAAAAAGAGGATAAAAAAAAAGAGAGAAAAAGAAAAAAGAAAGCAGAGGATGTAGCTCAGCAATAGAGTGGTTGCCTAGCACTCATGGGGCCCTGGGTTTGATCCCCAGAACTACAAAAAAAAAAAAAGGAAAACCACGTTTTCTACATAAGGATCTCTTTAAAATATGGAAATTGGGGTTAAAACTAACTATTATTTATTAAATATTAAATCATCAAGGCAGCTTAAAGACCTAGCCCCCTATTCCTAACTGGCACCTAAAGGACCCTTAGTAAATACTTACTAAATAAATAAATTAATATTAAATTTCTGTTTTGAGTTATAGTTCTCTTACCCCTTCTCTATCAAAGGATAATTCTATTTAAAAAACATTTGGAGCCCAGTGTGGTGCATGCCTGTAATCCTAGTGGCTTGTAGATTGAGGCAGGAGGATTTCGAGTTCAAAGTCAGCCTCAGCAATTTAGCAAGGCCCTAAGTAACCAAGCAATACCATGTCTCAAAATAAAAAATAAAAAGAGCTAAGGATGTGGCTCAGTGAATAAGTGTCCCTGGGCACTTAATCCCTGGTACAAAAAAAAAAAAATGGTTATGTCATTTTCAGACCTCCTTATAAAATGAAGTAAGTAACCTGTAATGAAGAGGACAGGGAAAAAAACTTGAGGAGATTTTTGGTGAAACTGTATGCTGGGGGTAGTCTAGGACCAAGGACTGCTCTCACCTGAGGTCACAGGGATTGTAATTCTAGGTTCTATGGTTTACATTGCTCTGAACCAGCTGTTTTCAATTATACATCTTCCATATTCATCTCCCTAGTTGCAACTCATTTCTGTTCATCTGGACTAGGGCAACAGAATTCTACACATTTAGTCTGCTCAAACGATGCTTCTGCCACCTAAGCAGTCTATGGACTGTGGCTGTCAGTGCAATTCCATTTCCCGACTGCCTACCAAGTGGAGTCTAAACTTGAAGTTCTCTGTTGTCCAGGCCCAGCTTATCCTGTGAGCTGCATTTACCATGAACCCACACTCCAGCCTAACAGGAATATGCATGTTCCTAAATGTGGAATGCATTTTTCCACTTCTAGACCGTACCTTGTGTTAGAAGCAAGAAAGGTCTTCCTTTCAAGGAATATCTGCTGGCAATCATTCAGAGCTCAGCTCTAATAAGAAGCTCGACTTCTTCCACACAGCTTTTCACTTACATCCCTGTTTTTGTCCATAGCAGCCCCAGAGCACTTTGTGCACTGTTTGCCTTTCCCACAGAATCCATTGCATTAAGTGTATGCATCTTAGATCTTAACGCTTACTGCATTAGAAGCTCCCCAATGACGGGCCATGTCTTATTCAGTTTTTAATCTCCTAAACTCACCCCCTTAATGGTAAAAGCTGACAAGTGATTGTGGAAATCACCTAAATGAACATTAAAAGGAGGTGATGATAGTTGTTATTTCTAACATTTTTCAAAGCAATTTGGTTCATCATAAAGTCTACACATTCATAAATCTATGTACTCAAAATTTAGAAAACAAAGGAGAAAACAAGAGGTTGTATTTTGGACAAATATTAAGGACAAATTTTAAGTCACTTCTTATTAGAGAGAGGGAAGAAAAACAAGACTTGCTCAATAAATTGGAAGGCCTGGAGAATCTGGCAAAATGGCCTCAGGTCCAGCAGGACCAATCTTTACCAAAACTATATTTCTGGAAAGAAGATTTTCTAGAATTTGAAAATGGAAATAAGTCACAACTAAAAGAAAACTTATTTCAACTGACCTTTGCTACATTTTAAAGGCACAATAAAAAAATTTCCTACCTAAATGTCAAGGCATTTTGTTCAGCATGTATGATGTATCTGAATTTCCTTATTTCTCTGTCTTTCTGCTTGTCATCCATATGTGGGAAGTCAGCATACTCAGATCCAACAGGAAAGGCATTATAGCCACATCCTATGAAGTACATAGCTCCGGTTCCGTCACAGCTTCTCTACAAAAGCGAGCAGACCAATGGTTAATTTCAACATTCAGAAAAGGCACTTTGCAATGTGACTTTAAAGCTTGCTTTCAGGGGCTGGGGTTATAGCTCAGCGGCAGAGCGCTTGCCTCGCACATGTGAGGCTCTGGGTTCGATCCTCAGTACCACATAAAACTAAATAAGACGAATAAAGATACTAAAGAATCTTTTTAAACAAGCTTGCTTTCATATTTTATATAATGAATTTTCATTTCTTTTTTCTTATTTATTTATATATACTAGGGATTGAGCCCCAGCAGGCTTTACCCCTGAGCCACATCTCCAGTCCTTTTAATTTTTAATTTTGTGACAGGGTCTTGCTAAGTTGTTCAGGACCTTGCTAAATTGCTGAGGCTGGCTTTGAACTTATGATCCTAGTGAGCTGCTGGGATTATGGGTATGCCCCACCACAGTCATCTCATTCCATTTCTATGACAAAATGAGCCATGAAACAAAAATAAAACAATACTTCTATTATATTATGGCCTTGCCAAAGTTTAATTTCAAGAAGTCCAGTCACCTCTCTAGTCTATAATCTCAAGGTAGTCTTTGATTTTAGCAGTCAATTAAATACTATATTTAAAAAAAAATTATTTAGGGCTGGGGATGTGGCTCAAGCCTGGCATGCACGGGGGGCGCTGGGTTCCATCCTCAGCACCACATAAAAATAAAAATGTTGTGTCCACTGAAAAACTGAAAAATAAATATTAAAAAATTTATTTATTTAAATTATGTATATATGACAGCAGAATTCATTTTTATTCATTGTACACAATTGCAGCACAACTTTTAATTTCTCTGGTTGTACATGATGTAGCGTCACACCATATATGCAGTAATACAGGTACCTAGGGTAATGATGTCCATCTCATTCCACCATCTTTCCTGCCCCCATCTCTCTTCCCCATTAAACACTATCTTGTTTAACTCAAAAATTATTTTTCTTGACTCAGGCATTAAACTATAAAATTCTACTAAAAAGAAACCACATTTTATACTTCTTTTCTATCCCGTAAGGTACACGTTAGATTGTTATGTATATAGCAGGCACTCAATAAGTGAGTGTTAATTTCTTACACTCTGTGCTAACAGTCAGAAATTTAAAAAATACTTTGAACAGCTGGGCCAGTAGTGAATGCCTGTAATTCCAGCTAATTGGAGGCTGAAGTAGGAGGCTCATAAGTTCAAGACCAGTTTGGGTTACTCAGCAAGACTCTGTATCAAAATAAAATAAAAAAGGGATGGGCAATGCAGTTCAGTTGTAAAGCACCTTTGGGTTCAATCCACAGTAAACACACACACACACACACACACACACACACAACACACACACAAACACATACACTCTGAACAGAATATTTCTGTTGCTGAAAATGTGCTATTGTGATTTAGTTAGAAAATAAAAAAATGTACTTCCTTTAATCTTGAATACTTTTTGAGACTTTGTTGTTATATAACCACAGAGCTTCTTACTCCAATAGCTCTTTCTTATTCCTTTCTTTTTTGGTACCTGGGATTGAACTCAGGGGCACTCAGCCACTGAGCCACATCTCCAGGCCTATTTTGTATTTTATTTAGAGACAGGTCTCACTGAGTTGCTTAGCACCTTGCTTTTGCTGAGTCTGGCTTTGAATTCACGATCCTCCTGCCTTAGCCTCCTGAGCTGCTGGGATTATAAAGAAGCTGCACCACTTTGCCTTGCTTTTTTCTTATTCGTGACCAAAGGCATATTAGTTGTTAATATGAATGTTTTACCAATTATTAGGATGATATTTTATCAATGGTAAGTGTTATAACAGTTTGGAATATGCTATAAATCTTATTAAATTTCAATCTATTATAACTACTCAAGTGATCATATCAACAATCTCATTCTCTAGCAAGCTTAATAAAAATCATTGTTATAATCAGCCAACAAGAAGATAAAAAAATCAGCTAACAAAAGCTTGAACATTAAATATTATCTCATTAATAAATTCTTATTGAATATTTACCAAATATCAAACTGGTTTTATATAAATCATTTCATTGGCTCAATCCTTGAAAAAACCTAGAAAGTAATATTGTTATTATTCCAATTTTATAGATAAGGAAACTGAGGCCAAGAGATTAAATAACTTATGTGAGGTTACAGAGCTAATAAAAACAACCAAAAGTTGAACCCAGGTTGCTTGACTCCAAGCCCATGTCTTTATACTTCACCAAGCAACCTGCTTACACTAGAGATAACTGGACTTAAATTCTCCACAAAGCAGGTGAGAACCAGATGTTTAAGTTAAAAGGCTGCTAAAGCATTTACATAACACAATGAGAGTTTCGACCATAGGCTAGACCTGTATGAGGTGCTGATGATATAGCTGTAAATCAGACAGGTCCCTGCCCTCATGAATCTTACAATCTGGAGAGGGTAAACAAGATGGGACACAAATGTGTGATGAATGTTACATACAAATTGTACAAAATGCTATTGGGATTTCTGGCTGAGATAAGTAGAGTTGAGAGGTACTTCGAAGATGGACTCCATAGCACTAACTTATACGTGTGAAGGACCAGGGAGTGAAATGGTAACCACTGGTGAAGGATCAGGTTAGCAGGGAAGATACTGGATTTATTGGCTAGGTTGAACTTGAAGGGCTTAGAAAACACTGGAGCAAATAGTCAAATGGCTGTAAAGTCCACTGAAGCAAAACAGGCTAATATTTCAATCAGCTGTATATAGTTCCTAAATAAATCTAATTTCGTGGCCCTCCTAACCCACCCCCACATAATATCAAGTCCTCATTATCTCTTTTATATTAACTATCTCCCTATTTCCCCGTCTCACTCTACTTCATTCTTTTATAATGCAAATATGATCATATCATTTTCTCACTTAAAAGATTATTGGACTGTAAGTTCCAATATAGTAGCCATTGACTACATGTGGTTAGTCTAAACTGAAAGGTGTTATATAAGTGTAAAATACAGAGATTTGTAAGATTTAATAATGAAAGAAAATGCAGATTTTATTAGTAATTTTTTTAAGGTACTAGGGATTGAACTCAGGGGCACTCTACCACTGAGCCACATCCCCAGCCCTATTTTGTATTTTATTTAGAGACAGGGTCTCGTTGAGTTGCTTATCACCTTGCTGTTGTTGAGGCTGGCTTTGAACTATTGATCCTCCTGTTTCAGCCTCCAGAGACACTGGGATTAAAGGTGTGAACCACCTGGTTTATTAGTAATTTTTATATTGATTATATGTTAAAATAATATCTTTGGACAGATTAAATATATTATTTATTTTTTTTCAATATTTATTTTTTAGTTGTAGGTGGACACAATACCTTTATTTCATTTATTTATTTTTATGTGGTGCTGAGGATCGAACCCAGGGCCTCGTATGTGCTAGGTGAGTGCTCTACCGCTGAGCCAGCCACAGCCCCTTATTTTGTCTTTTAATATTTTAAACTGACATAAAAGTCAAATTTATAAACATTTCTGGGGTATTGTGATTTTTGATACATGTATATATTGTGTAATGTTTAAATCAGATTAAACATATCTATCACTTTAAATATCCAATTTTTTTTTTTTTTTTGAGTACCAGGGGTTGAACTCAGGGGCTCTCAGCCACTGAATCACATCTTCAGCCCTATTTTGTATTTTATTTAGAGACAGGGTCTCACTGAGTTGCTTAGCAGCTCACTTTTGCTGAGGCTGGCTTTGAACTCATGATCCTCCTGCCTCAGCCTCTGAGCTGCTAGGATTACAGATATGCGTTAAATATCTAACATTTTTTATGATGAAAATATTCAAACTCCTTTCAGGGCATGGTGGTACATGCCTATAATCCCAGTGGCTAGTGAGGCTGAGGCAGAAGGATCATGAGTTCAAAGCCAGTCTCAGCAATTTAGCAAGGCCCTAAGGAACTTAGTGAGACTCTGCTTCAAAAGTAAAAATGAAAAGGGCTGGGGATGTGGCTCAGTGGTCAAGCACCCACGGTTTCAATCTCCAGTACAAAAAAACAAACAAAACATTCAAATTCCTTTCTTCTGGCTTTTTGAAACACACAGTATATTATTGCTACCTATAGTCACCCTCCTATGCATCAGCACACCAAAACTTTCTGCTCCCATTTAACTGTAACTTATTACCCATTGAGCAACCTTTCCCCATTGCTTCCACCACCTTTCCCCTCCCAGTCTCTAATAACCACCATTATACTCTAAACTTCTATGAGATCAACATTCCACATATAAGTGAATTCATGAAGTACTTATCTTTCTGTGCCTGGTTTATTTCACTTAACATAATAATCTCCAGCTCCATCCATGTTGCTGAAAATGAGAATTTCATTCTATGGATGAATAGTATTACATTGTGTGTATATACTACATTTTCTTTATCCAGTCATCAGTAGATGGACATTTAGATTGTTTCCAATAAAATATATTCCTCACCTTACATCTATTTCTTTTCTTTGCCTGTTTACCATAATTCACCTATTTTTAAAATTCACCACTCCCTAGAAAATTTCAAGATACATATGTGGCTTACATTTCATTTCTACTGATAAGTATTGTTCTAGGGGATGCACTAAAGTTCTAAAGTTCACAGACACCAGGCACAGTGGTGCACACCTGTAATCCCAGCAGCTCAGGAGGTTGAGGCAGAAGAATCGAGTGTTCAAAGCCAGCCTCAGCAAAAGGGAGGTGCTAAGCAACTTAGTGAGACCCTGTCTCTAAATAAAATAGAAAATAGGGCTGGGGATGTGGCTCAGTGGCCGACTGCCCCTGAGTTCAATCTCAGTACTACTCAAAATAAATAAATATTTATTTATAAATATTTATAGATTTTAATATTTATTTATAAATATTTATAGATATTCACATGGTCTACAACATTCTTTATGGTTCAGTCCAATTTTCTGCCCACTCTACAAAGGACTTTGGATCCCAAGTCACTTGCATTTTCCTATCTTCTCTTTCTAGCCCTCTACCTTTGCATGTTATCTTCCTGGTCCTTCTAACTTTTTCTGTTTGATGAACTCCTGCTCATTCAAGACTAATAGCATGCTACCACCTCCAAGAATCTCTCTCATTTTCCCTCGTTTCCCCAAGCATAGTAAAGGTCCTTCTCCATGTTCTCACAGTACTGATTATAATTACACATATATGCCAGTCTCTTTTTTTACCTCTCTGTCTCCATCATTAGCTATGAGGTCAAGAAAGGCAGAAAATGTGATCTTTAAATCCCTGATGTACACTGTGACACAGTGCTTAACTTATAGAAAGTGTTTAATAAATGTTAAATTGATGAGTCTAGAAAAATTATTGAGGGAATGAGCAAATGTTTATAGAATTTCACAATGCACCAATAGAAAAATATTAAGCTCAACAGGTCAATAAAATGTAGTGTACTGCCAGACACGGTGATGCATGCCTGTCGTGCCAGACACTCAGGAGGGTAAGGCTAAGCTTGAGCTCAGGAATTCAAGGCCAATCTGGAAAACATGGTGAGAGTCTATCTCAGAAAGCAAAAGCAAAAACAAAACCAAAAATGCAATGCACTAAAGACTGAACTATGTATGTTTAAACAAAATCCAGGTTAAATATTTAAAGATTTATTTCCATACTTACAGATTTCCCTTCTGCCCAAATGACTGCTCCAACTCCTGTTTTATGATCCTCTGAAAGACATGACATTGAACTCAGTGAAAATCAATGACTGTTAGTTTCAGAAATACACTTTTCCAAAAATAATAAAAACATATATTTTGAAACATTCTTCATGATCATCCTAACAATTCTTGACATCTTTACTAATTACAGAGAAGTATTAAAGTAAATACTTCAAAGTATGAAATATGGGAGCTAGGTAGCAAAGAAATAGATTGGGTTATTACTCACTGAGTCACACACGATATACATGTGGAAACCACTAACATGGCAGTGGCCAGTCAGATCACCTCAAATCTACAACCAGAACTAAGCACAACTTCATTGATTCTCCACTAACAGGTCAGTTTCCAAATGACTACTTCTTTTTATTAGTGTATATTAATTGCACAGAATCTTGGGTTTCATATTGTATTTATATATAACATATTTTGCTCATTTCTACTGTTACCCGCCCTTACCTTGCCCCCTCCCACTCTTCAACTAACAGTCTCCTTTCTACATTCCTGTCTTTTTGTTGCTTTCTTTTCTAGATTCCACATGAGAGAAAACATGCTGTACTTGTCTTTCTTGCTTAACATGATGATCTCTAGTCCCATCAATTTTCCTGTGAATGACATGAATTTATGGCTGAATACTACTCCTTTGTATGTGTGTGTGTGTGTGTGTGTATACACCACATTTTCTTTATCCATTCATATGTTGACAGGCACCCAAGTAGATCTGTAGCTTGGGTATTCAGAATTGTGCATGATAAAAACAGGTATACAGGTATCTCCATGATATGCTGACTTTAATTCTTTTGGAATATACTAAGGAATTTTGGTATAATTGGATCATATGGTAATTCTAATTTTAGTTTTTTGAGGAACCTACATCCTTATTTCTATAGTGACCATGCTAATTTAATTCCCACCAACAGCGTACAATTGTTCTTAGTTCCCATATCCTCACTACCATTTATTATTATTTGTATTCTTGATGATTGCCATTCTAACTAGAGTAAGAGAATTTCTTTTTTTCTTTTTTGGATACCAGTATCAAAATTAACTACTAAGCCACACCCTCAGTCTTTTTTACTTCTCATTTTGAGACCAGGTCTTGCTAAGTTGCTTAGGGCCTTGCTAAATTGCTGAGGCTGGCTTTGAACTTGTGATCCTCCTGCTTCAGCTCCCTGAGCCACTGGGATTACAGGTGTGCAATACTGTGCTGGGCGTGAAATAGAATTTCAATGTAGTTTTATTTTTTTTTTAAATATTTTTAGTTGTAAATGTACATGATACCTTTATTTTATTTATTTATTTTTATGTGGTATTGAGGATCAAACCCAGTACATCACACATGCTAGGCAAGTGTTCTACCACCGAGCTACAGCCTCAGACCATCGATGTAGTTTTAATTTGCATTTCCTTGATGGATTTGTATTTCCCTAAAGATGCTAAACTTTTTTCATATAATTATTGGCCATTTGTACTTATTTTGAGAACAGTCTGTTCAGTTCCTAAATGACTACTTCTAATAGATAACGTAACTGAGTAAAAAAGTAGTTTTTGATAATTGTGAGTACAATATCTACTCACAACAATCAAATGTGTCTTCTAGTCTTTTTAATGTTCTAATCATGGAAAATATATTTTATGGAAGTGTTCTTGCTATGCAAAATGTTCAAACTTTTAATAAAAAATAAAATCTTTATGAACTTTTATATCTGCATGTCTACATACTGGTGAAAGATACATGAAGAAAATTTTGATTTAAACAAAATATTGTCATTTTCTTGACCTGAATAGTTTAAGAGGGAAAAGAATGCTATGTTAGTGATATTATGGTCATTTCTAAATCAAGTGGCAGAAGTTATAAACATAAAATTTTAATTCTCTTGCAGAACAAAAACTTTTGCAATAAGTGGTCCTTCTTAAAACCATTAATGTGAAACAAAAAATAAAAAACCAAAATAGAAATTGCACGTATTAGGGGGCTGGGGTTGTGGCTCTTCGGTAGAGCCCTCGCCTAGCATGTGTGAGGTACTGGGTTCGATCTTCAGCACCACATTAAAATAAATAAGTAACTAAAAAAAATGTTAAAAAAAGAAAGAAAGAAAGAAACTACACATATTAGGATCTACTTTCCTTCCACATAGGGTGAGTTTCAAATTCCCTAAGACAAATACACACTAATTATGAAAACCATAGTATTTGTCAAAATCATAATAGAGGACTAATATAGTTTGGATGATACACTTATATAGAAAAAATAAGAATTATCTGTAAACTTACCTAAGTTCATTATCATAATGATGAGTGAAACTATGGCTTCCCCTTACAATTTCTTACAAGTTAAAATCCTTCCAATTAAAATATATATTTTAATACCTACTTTTTTTCAGTAAAAGCACAAAGAAAATTTGTGCCACTTTGTATTAAAAAACTAGGATGCCTTATAACTAATTTTTTAAAAGTTATGATATGCCAATAAAATCTCCCATCTCCAGTTCAAGTACTCAGGCTTTCAAAATCATACTACAAAGGATTTAAGTAATTTATGTTAAGCACTTTTTATTTACCATCTCATTTTTATCTAAAGATAAAAGTTGATTCCCTTCTGTAAGTAAGAAAACAGGCAGAGAAATTCAGTGAGTGAAGTTTGGCCCTTGTGACCCAATCTATTTGCCTTTCCTCCACCTCCCTCTTTGCCATTAAGAATTCCACAACAAAGGCTTCCATTTTTTGAGTGCCTGTGTTCCAAGTATGGTGAACGTTCCTCCAGCAACTCACAGCTGACTGGGCAGAAGGCTAACTAAGGAAAGACACAGATGTGTGCTGTGCCCTGAAAATGAATGGGATACTGAGGTCTAGAGGATGTCTGGTGACTGGCTTCTACAGTGTGGCGGAAAAGGAGATTATGGCATAAACACAATTTTGTTTCTTCCTAGACCTTTACGTGACCTAGACCTTAACATGAGGAAAAAAGATATAAATCAATGGCTTTATGCTCATTTCTGAGGCAAGTGGACAATATTATAAACATAAGATTATATTTGCGAGCAAAAACAAAATCTTGACTGTTAAGTTCTATTAATATGTACATAAATCAGAAGTAAAAAATGAAAAATTAAAACAGAAATTCTTCATTTTAAGAGTCTACTTTTCCTATCAACATTTTTTTTTTCATGTTATGTTTTTTAATCTCAGGACCCACATTTTCTGTTCAGTCTGGGGATAGACTAAACCTTGTTAGGAGAGGGAAAGATGTGATTTTTTTTCATCAGCATGCAGCTCTGCTGCCTTGCAAAGATCAGTTACACCAAGAGAATATTCTTTACTACGTGTGTTTTCCAATAGGATAAGTTTTCATCCATATAAAAATGGTTTTGGAAAACACTTTTTCTAGGACACAAAAGGAGATCACAACTCAACACTTAAACCGGGTAGATAACATGAGATGCCTTTTACTCTTTCCCCCCATGAGTCTGAACACATTTTGTCACTTTTTGCTACTCTAATATCCAAGAAGCATTCATTTAACAACACCTCTGTGGATCCTCATTATTAATCATTTAAAAAGCAATTATTAAACCCCTACTTGCAATTTTTTTAGAACTTCAGAGGTTTTGGAATTCATTTTCATCATGTCTTTTTTTTTTTTTTTTTGGACTGGTCTATTGAACCCAGAGGCACTTTACTCTTAAGCTACACACACAGCCCTTTTTATTCTTTTTTAAAACTTTGAGACAGCGTCTTGCCAAGTTGCCCAGACTGGCCTTGAACTTATGATCCTCCTGCCTCAGCCTCCCAAGTAGTTGGGATTACAGGAGTGTGCCACCATCCCTGGCTCCTTGAAGAAGTTTTTAAAAACAGACCTAGGTCACACTTGGTTAGAGCAATTGTTGAACAGGGTCTGGGGAGGAGTTTGAGCATCTGTACTTTTTATTAAAGTTTCTGTGGTGATTCTGCAAAACATGCTGTCAGTTGAGTTCCTCCATTCTACTGAATTTATTTCAATCTAACCAATAGCATTGGCATGGACCTTTTCTGATTTTCCTTCTTTTCTCCTTTTTGGGATAATTTAAAATTCCTATTATAGTCCACTCCACAAACTAATCTTACTCTACTGTTCTCCCTGCCTGCATTTTTCCCACTTATTTTCAAGTTGCATTTTTTAAAGTGGTCATGATTCTCTTTCAAAAAATACTACATCTAGTAATTCTTGAAAATACTGCTCCATAATTGGAAATACAGATACATTTTATCACAATAAAGAATATTCTCAAGTAATATTTTCCTTCTCCACATACACAACATAATAAAGTAAAAATGTTTAATTTCTCAGTTTTCTGATTAAAGACATACCGGCAACTGAGAAAATCTGCAATAACCAACATTCCTTTACTTTCATTGTATTAGTTATTTTGAATTCATATTTTTAATTTTACAGATTTCCAAGTTTTCATCAAATACTCAATACAAACAATATTGAAGAGTTAACAAGAGTGATTTCAGTTTTCTCTTTGTCCCATTTTTAGTGGAAGGCTTGATAAACAGAAATCATAAATGCAAGGAGAAAGACGAATTAGATAATTTGGTCCTGAATTATAAATGTAGTGCTGAATAAAGGGCCACAAGGAAGTTCCAAACTGCTCATAGGAAGAGTCGCCTACACAAGAGTCTCACAAACTTTAGCATGAACAGCCAAACTTTAATATCTAGGAGCAAATGAACTCTGCCATAGATAAGATGCATACCACTTTACTTCTGAGACAAATACAACCAAACCAATTTGCCCCAACTTATGAACTAAGCATTTAACTCACCAGTCCGATATGCCAATAACCTGGCCTGAACCATGCAGTGCCTTGCAATTTCTTGTGGCAAACTTTGATTGTGAATTTCATTAATCTGTTCTGGATTACTACAATAAAATCCAAAGTGTTTAAAGCTGGGCACACTGGAAGCTACCGTGGCCAAGATTAGGATAAGGTCTTTCATGTTTTGCCTCAGATTGCTAAAGTAGGGATTTTCACACAGGTTCTCCAGACCTATAGTCATCAGGATTTGCTTATGTATTTCTTCATTTGAAATCAAAAATATCATTTCATATTCTTTTATTCTTTCTTGTTTACATTCAGAATAAAAGTCAATGTTAGCATCTGGTACTGTCTTTGTAATTTTTTGAATAAAGTCACATTTGTAAGAAGTCTCTTCTACAAACTGCACCATATAACACACCAAAGGTTGAAGTAAGACACACACATGGGCCCGACTGTTTGACTTCAGTCTTTCCACAGCTTTGGCATCTAACTTTGCATCTTCAGAACTAGAAGCCTCAGTAAGCAAACTTATTTCTGGATCAGCAGGCCAATATGAAATTCGATTAACTCCAGCTGAAATACAAAATATGAAAGATAATTATCTGATACATGCTGAATATACATTTTCTTGATAAACCCATCCTAGCAATGCAGTAGATCAAGAAGGCCCAATAAATGTCTACCATGAAGTCACCTATTAATCCATCTGAGGTTTGGCAAATAATTATCCATAGGCCAAATCTGGTCCATTGAGAATTTTTGTATAGCTCACAGATTAACTAATTTGAAAAAACACAAGACTATATCATAACACAAAATTAGATACATTGATTCATTTATACAATCTGCCTTTGCATGGCAGAGTTGAGTAGCTGTGACAGAAATGACATTGCCTATGAACTTAAAATATTTACACTTTTGCCTTTTTGAGACAAAGCTAATTGACCCCAAACAGAGCCCAGGGGAAGGATTTGTGGATTCACTGATTTTGCTGAGTATGGTCCCAAAGCCCAGCACTGGGACTGTATACCAGCACCTTCCACAGTGCCATGGCTGCTTTTAGAAATGTTACAAATAGCATTTGGTCATGTCTAAAGTTTTGTATTTAGAAATCAACAATTCATCAATGCATTACAAATGATTCTGTCTTGGACTCAGAATTCTTCTGGAAAGAAAAATTCATGTATACACAGTTAATGCAGCATTCTTTAAAACATTAAAAATGTTAAAAATAATAGACAACCAACATAGGGAATGGTTAGACAAATCATATATTCCTCATAGTTATAAAAAAGTGTCCACACAGAATTCATAACATGAAAATTACTTATGTGATGCTAGAGTAGTGGTGTGTCAGCAATATTAATTTATTTAAGCCACAACACTGAAGACAAAACAAGAAAATAAAGGAACATTTTTCAATCAATGAGGCAGAGGAAAGATTGGTAATCTTTAATACACAGAAAAGACTTTAAATCATTGAGAGTACATATGAATTGACAAAAAGAATGAGATCTCAAGAGAGACAAAAGATATGAAAAATTTACAAAAGAGAAAATATAATTAGATAACAAACATATGAAAAAATATTTTAATTTGTATCTGAACTTGAACAATGAAGGTACCTTATACACAAATACCCAAATATTTGTCAATTAACGAATAGTTTACAACAAAGACTTTTTTCTTGCTGGTAGTCTCATGTAATTTCAGCTTGGAGAGCCTTTTTTTATGATTGTGCCCAGAAGTGAATAGACAGATAGCCCTCTGGTGTCCCATCTTTCAAAGTAATAGATGAGCTAAAAAGTAAACAGATGTGTATTTCTGCCTATTCTCTGCTATTCCTAACTCACTGTGGTTTGAGCTGCAAAGCAATTTCAAAGGCCTCACAGCTCAGATAGAGTCTTTCCCCTTGCTGCATTTCATCTTCCCTGTTCAAGTTCTCATAATCCATTTCCTGACTAGCATCGATGGTAAAACATTCATCTATGAATCTTAGTTGCTCCTAGTAATCCCAATCCAAGAAGGGAAGATGAATCACCTTTAAAATGTTCAATACTACTGGTAAGTGCTATAGCAGAGGTTCTCAAATTTTTTGATCTTAGGATCCCTTTATTGAGGACCCCAAAGAGTTTTTGTTTGTATGGATAGCATCTTTTGATATTTATTTTATTAAAAATTTAAAAATATTTATTAATTCATTTAAAATAACAAAAAGAGTCATTAATATACATAACAGTTTTATGATAAGAAACTATTTTCTAAGTTAACCAAAGTTAGTGAGAAAAATGGCGTTGAATTTTTTTTTTTAAGAGAGAGAGAGAGAGAGAGAGAGAGAGAGAGAGAATTTTTAATATTTATTTTCTTTAGTTTTTGGCGGACACAACATCTTTGCTTGTATGTGGTGCTGAGGATCGAGCCTGGGCCGCACGCATGCCAGGTGAACGCGCTACGGCTTGAGCCACATCCCCAGCCCGGCATTGAAGTTTTACAAATGTATTTAGTATTTGGCTTAATAGAAAGACAGCTGGATTCTCAAATTCACTTCTGCTTTCAATCTGTTGCCAACAGGTTGTTTACACTGAAGTATATTAAAATTATTCTGCCTCATACAGACATGTAGTTGAAAAAGGAGTATTTGAACAGCCATGTTAGATAATTGTAAACATTCTTTTTTGACACTATTGTAAATATTTGACAAGAAATAGTTTCTTTTTTTTTTTTTTTATATTTTATTTTTAGTTTTCGGCAGACACAACATCTTTCTTTGTATGTGGTGCTGAGGATCGAACCCGGGCTGCACGCATGCCAGGCGAGCGAGCTACCGCTTGAGCCACATCCCCAGCCCAAGAAATAGTTTCTTAAAGACTAGTTACAAACCAGGCACTGTGACCCATGCCTGTAATCCCAGGTAATGGCTTAGGAGGCTGAGGCAGGAGGATTGTGAGTTCAAAGCTAGCCTCAGTAACTTTGTGAGGTTCTAAGCAACTTAGTGTGACCCTGTCTCAAAATTAAAAAATATATAAAGAGTAGGGATGTGGCTCAGTGGTTAGGTGGCCCTGGGTTCAATCCCTGATGCCTGCACCATCACCACCACCAAAAAAAAGATTAGAATGTGAAATCTGAAACCATATCAACAAACTTTTTGTATCTATACCCTGGTCTGTCTTGTACTTAGAATGGCTGTTTTATTCATGCATGATTCTGTAGTTTTGTGCACTGGTCATTTGGAAAATGTGATATTGATTTTACAATACTCAAAAAAAGTCCATTACTATCACCACCAATCTCATCCTAAGAGTATAAATATCAGGAAGTTGTCAAGCTCAAAATGGTGGATATGGTTTTCCAAAATTCTAATTTTCACTTTGAATGCTCAAATTTTATGATTAGCAGCAAATAATGTCAATTGTTTCCTGAAAGTGACAGGCTCACTTCATTTTTGAGGCAAAATAGCTAATAACCATAGTCTGTCAAATTATGGTGTTTCATGAAAAAAGTGAATCATTTTAGTTTGCAACTCAAAACAGTCACATAAGTGGTTTTCCTTAAGGCAACCTTCACATTAGGTTTGTAATAAAAGTATTTTATAACAAAGTCCTCTTTCCTTACACAGAATATTAAAAAGATGTGTATTCAGGATTAGAATTTAATGAAATTAATAACTCTTACTGTTTCATAAAAGCCCTTCTTATGTGAAACTATTTCTTTGTGCAGTAAAGAGCATAAGGACTGCTAGGGCAGTTTTGCTTCGTCTATAGCAACAGTGGTTTTACTCACCACTGTTTTGGTCACTTTAGTGTAAATGTAGCATTACTGTGAAAATATGTTGACCTTGTAGACCATCAGGAGAATCACCATGCTAGGAAATGACTGCTTTGGTTTAACCGGAAGTAACAGTGATAGGAACTAAAGGAGTTCAGCTACAGCATAAGTTCAACCATGCCGCCTTCCCAAGATAACTAATATGTAAACTTAAACCAACAGAGCAATTTTATTTACTTATGGGTCTATCACCAGCATAAATGCATCCTAGGTCTCTTTCCACACTTTATTCTCTCTCTTGGCAGACTGAAGCTGTAGTGAGTGACTCGCACTCCCCTGCGATTCTAAGCCTTAGCTCTGAGGTGATCAGGGGTGCTTTTAGCACAGGCAGTTCTTTTATTTATTCTTCTCCCTTGACTCTAGAACACATCAGTCAACATATTTTAGTTCTTTCACATTCTTTCCTTTCTATATCAATGTCACCATCTGAACTAATCAGTCCGCTAAGCAAGCTAACTTCTCCCTGATCCAATTCTGTAAAAACAACAAAAATTTAATCATGTTTCATCTTGCTCAAAAACCTTTAATAGCTGCATATCATCTATAATGGGAATCATAAGTCAACTGAACATAAATGATTAAATGAATGTCCAATTTGCCTGGTTAACTGGGCAAAGGAGGAAAAAAAGCCATGACCACTGTGATACCTATCTTCTTTATTAGGAACTAGAGTGGAGAGACTACAGAGTCACTCTTAACATACCTGAAGGCCTGCAATACTTGTTGCAGGCCAGGAAGCTCCTAACCACATGACCTTTCTCCTGGAAGTTTTTCCTTGTGTCGTTCAAGGCACCAACCTCAACATAGATCTGATCAGTATTTATAAGACTTGGATGTACATAAAAACAGTTAAAAAACAGGTCCTGGAATTCTGTCCCATAAGATAAAGCTCAGATGCTATGTAATTTTTCAAGGTTCTCCACTAAAGCCCCAATCTACCATTATAAGCCATCTGTCACTATTTTCTTAGGAATAATCTTTCATTTCAAATACTGGACTTTTCTTCTTACAACTGAGTGATGCTACAAAGACTGCTGTTCCTGACCACCCATGAGTTCCCCTTCCTGTATGAGTGACCTATCAGGATCCAGTTTAAGCCCCAAACTTTCATAACATGACAACCCACAGGGATCAGTTTCACCTCTGAGATCATTTTATCACTTACAGCATATATCAATCATTGGACACTAGATGATGTATTCATTAAATTGTTATTTTGGTCTCCAAGTAACACCCTGAGGGAAAGGATTAGGAGCCATATTAGTTATTTGTTTTTAAAACTTTTTTTTTTTTTCATTTTGGTGGCGCTGGGGATTGAACTGAGTCTTGTGCATACTGTGCAAACATTATACAACTGAGTTGTACCCCCAGACATTCCTGAGGCCTGTGCTTTTAAAAGCAGTTATGCCTTCTCTACTCTTTCCTTCCTCTTCTGGCTTCAGAGGACTCAAAGCCCCAGGTATGACAACAGTAGTAAGATGGAAGATGCCTAGGCCTGTGAATCAACTACACAGAGAAAAGCTGCCTGTTGCTCAGCAACACCTGGGCTATGACAGGAGTGATGTCTAATATATTAAACCACTGAGATCTTAGGGTTTCTTAGAGATAGTAGCACTAGTCTACTAATTCACTGAGGGTCATTAGGCTGACTAGTGGACAGAGTTGAGGACAGCATCTTTGTTTTTTGACTCTTTGCACAGTGTCTCAAACTGTCTTCAGACATACATCAGTATTTCCAAATGATCTCTGTGAGATTTAGGCAATTTGTTCCCTTGTTTGCTCTCAGATCTATTCCTAATCCCCAACAAAGCCTTATCTGCACTTACCATTTACAATCATTTTCAAACAAGCAGAACATGGTTTTCTGGAAAAATAAAGATCACAGTTTTTCAGCTTTGACCCATGTTTAATAAGAGCAATTTGCCCAGCATGTAGATCTTCACTAGAACAATGGAGACCAACAATTTTCATGTTTTTCACCACCACGAGACCAGTTTTCTTCACCTACAGTGAGATACAAAATAAGAAGTTATTAATTATAACTCATGATTATCATAATACTTGATTTATTAATAAAATGAAAATTTTGATTAGTTCTTTATCTGAACATAGTTTGTTCAAAAGTACATTTTGCATTAGGTCCAAAACAATTTCTGAAATTTTGTGTTTACTTTAGATCAGAAATTTTTAAAACTGAGGCTCTACTAACCAAACAATTAAATGTGCAAATTATCACTATTTTATTCTAGTGAAAGATGAATACAATTTAACCTAGTAAAGGGCAGGAACCAAGTTGGTTTCACTTGGTTTTTACACCATCCAGTCTAGGACTATTAGGTATTAAGCTTCTAGATGTTAAAAAGGAAAGATTTGGAAACCCCTCTCATTTTACACATGGATAAATCAAGCCCAGAGAACTTTCCAAAAGAATTCACAGATAGTAAAAAGCAGAATGAAAGAGAGGTCATCACTGAAAAAAAAGAAAATTCTCAACATCCTAAAAACTGGCTGAAGATTTTTCAACACTATGACAGTCTAGACTCATGTATCTGGGTCCCTCACTATAATTATATAGGTAAGTTATAAAACACAAACAAAAGTCATACTGTCAGGTGTCAGGAAAGAGAACTGACAGCCAAAGTGAGTTCCTTGGCAGTATTCCAGAGGGGCCTGGGCTGACCTGAAATTATGCCGTGCAGGCTGGACACTACCTAGGATTCTAGAGTTCTAATGAGACTCTTTGAGTGAAGACTTTCTGCTACTTATAATCTAAAGTACCCTGACTTACGAAAATATCAGTGAAAAAGAAGCTCATATAATAATACTAATATTAGATAATATTAGATAAAATATTAGATAAAACAGCTAGTCAAGGTGGTGCGTGCCTATAACCCCAGCTACATAGGAGACTGAGGAAGGAAGATCTCAAGTTCAAGACTGGACTGAGCAACTCAGGGAGATCCCACCTCTAAATAAAAAAGAATAAAGGTGGCAGTGGGGCATGCTGAGGATGTAGTTCAGTTGCAGAGCATTTGACCAGCAGGTATAAGGATCTGAGTTCAATCCTCATAAGTACCAAAAAAAAAAAAAAAAAAAAAAAAAATCAGATAAAACAGAGAAGTAAAAAACAAAATCAGTTCTACCTAAGGCACAAAGTAGTCTATGTTGTTTTTACAGCAAAACAAAAATAAAGACAATTCTATAGTAAGGAATGTAAACTTGATCCTTGGGTTTGGGAATGTAGTCATGACATGAGAGGAACTTGGGCTGAAGATAGGGTGTCCCTTATTCCCCACCTCCTTCCAAAAGGATTTTACTCTATATTGATTCCCTATCAGAACATATTTGAAATCACTTTAAGGATAAGACCAAAGTACTATAAAATAAAACAGTCAAGTGTCAGTTGATTTATTAGTATAAACGTTCAGAATTAGGAAGGATATTTTGTGAAATGCCTGGAAAAAAGGAATAGAGATTTCATGAAATTCCCTTTCTGAGCTAACCAACCATCTCCTAAACATTTATAAAACCTACATCTAAGAATACACCTAAAATATGAAAGATTTGTCTGTATTAGCTTTTAAAATGAGCTTCAAATTTACCTTTCCATATTATTTTAGAATCTTATGTTCCTTAAATACAAAGTACGTTATCGTCTACTTCTGAATACTTCCATCAAGTTTGTTTAAAAACTGGTCACTTTAGAAAACAACTGATGATGCCTTATTAAAAAATCTTAGCACCAACCAGGCACGGTGTCCCCTGCCTGTAATTCTAGCTACTCAGGAGGCTGAGGAAGGAGACTTGCAAATTCAAAGCCAGCCTTAGCAACTTAGTGAGATCCTGTCTCAAAAAACTAAAAGGGCTGGGGATGCAGTTCAGTGGTAAAGTGCCCCAGTACTGTCCCCCAGTTCTTGGTACCAGAGCCCATGTTGTTTAACCAAATTAACACAATCAGTGGGAGTGGCTGCAACTGAATTGAATGATGTTAACTTTAAATTGTCGAGTAGTTAATTAGACAGAAATAAAACCAGAAATTTTGACCACAAAAGATGTTTTTAAAAATTGTTACTTAAGTAAAGGGAAGCATATTCATCAAGTTATTTTTTATCAGAACAATCTTTTCTGCCAAGTTTACCACCTTTTTTCCCCCCTAGAATTCTTTGTACCTCCAGGAAGAATGAATATATATTTCATTTTGCTTCTAGTTGAGGCCAAAATATTCAAGTTTGAGGCAAAGATTTTTCCATCCCAAACTTAACAAAAACAAAACAAATAAAAGCCTAAGTTGCATTCCATTTGGACACTTCCACTTACTGCAACTCCCAGAAGACTGAATCTTTTCAGTGAATCACTGTTCTGGATCTTGATTTTGCTTCACTTCACTAACATCTTGGCAAGTCGTCTATGTAATCCTAGTCACAGAGTTTTACATTAAAACATGGGCAAAAGAGGACAGTCTGTTTTATGTATTTACTACATTTACTTAAAACAGTGATTCACTATTTTTTCCTTTATGTTTCTCAAACATCTAAATATTCTGAGAAATTATTTCTATATTCTTTTTGGGTATTTTAGAGACTCACTCAAAGAACAAATTAGGAAATCTTATCCAGAATGTACACCGGAATCACCCAGGTAATTCTTTTCAGCATATACATGCTTAGTCTCTATTCCACACCAATGAATCAGAATCTCTGGGAAACTTAAAAATAAAGTAAAAAGAAAATACTAAGAAATATTAGAAAGAACAAGGTTTATGTTTCAAGTCTAGCCTTTGATTTTAATCTGCTTAGCAACTAATATGTTAACCTATTATTCTTTCATATATACTCTTAGAAGACATGAAACTCTTGGGTCAGAAAGAAAGGATTTTACTATTCACAGTACTGCAGTATGAGCATCTTATTTGTGATGGTATCTTGCCCTCAAGTCCCATGGGAGGTGATGCAGATAGTTGCCAGTTTGTGTTATAGGATGGGGACACTGAGCCTGGGGATTCTGATGTTTTACAGCCAACAGTAATCCGATCTGCTCTTTGCCCCTGAGAGGGACATTACCTAAACCCTCAATTTTGCTTGCTGCAAACACAACTCTAAGAAATGACCTACATAAAGAGCAATCGATGCCTTGCATTTTTGACACAACCACCAAGATATATAGGCACTTGAGAGAACCATAGGAGAATGTTTTTCAACATATTTCTATGAATTAATGTTAGACGGTATTAAGAGTTACATTTGAAAAATTTAAAAAAGCAAGATATAGAAGCATATCACAAATTTGACTTTTTAAAAATAGGACAGACATATAGGTTTGTATATGCACATATTTTTAGAAGAATATTAAGAAACCCCCTTGGAAGTAGAAATGGCGAACTTGGGTGTAAGAGGGTCTTTTATCCTTCTTTATATTATTCCTTTTGTTTTGTTATTATGAACAATTTTTTTTTTTTGTAACAATGGTAATGGTTTACCTGTTTTTTGTCAGTAGATTCTCTGGCCATCTCTTTATCATCTCCTAAGGGTCCACATTTGTCTTCTTCATTTTCCTAATTAAAATCAGATTAAGAGGGAAAAATTAATATGATTAATCCAATATTTCCATATTTAAAAGGTGGTTTCCTTGACTTTAGACCATTCATTTGTTTTCTCTGTGATGAAACTCTGCACTGACTTCTCACTTTGTTCAGGATCAAATCCAGACTACACTTAACATAGTAAATAAGGCCTATATAATCTCCCCTGGCTATTTTTATATAATATTAGAAATTGTGACTAGAAAGAAAAATTCCATAGTTTAAGATTTCAGAATTGAGTCACTTTTGAGCAATGGAAAAGTACAAAGGGTGGCCCATGGCTATGAATGACTAAGTTGGAATAGAGGTAGGTCATCAGAGTTGAGAAGATAAGGAAATATGTAGCAAAGGTATTATATATGGATTATAGTAGACAGAGTAATGGCTCCTGAAGATCTTTTGTCCCACTCCCTGGAGCCTGTGACTATATTATGTTTTATGATAAAAGAGAATAAAGGTTACAGATGTAATGAAAGCTTCCAATCATTTATCATGAGATGGGGAGATAATCCTGTAGGTCCAAGGTTATTAAAAGGTCTTAGTAAGCAGATGAGGCAAGCAGGGAAGGCAAAGTGAGACAACTGAGAGTCAACTGGCCAATGCTCATTTTGAAGATGGAAGGGGCCATGGGCCAAGGAATACAGGTAGTCTCCAAAGTTACAAGAGGCAAGGAAATGACTTCCTCTAGAGCCTCCAGAAGGAATTCAGCCCTGCTGACATTTTGATTTTACAATGAGACCCATTTTGGACTTCTGACCTCTGGAACTGTACAATAATAAATTTTTTTTTAGTTAACTTTGTGGTAATTCATTACAGCATCAATAAAAACCTAATACAGAGATGTCCTTAAGTCTCCTCTAAAAGTGAAAATTAAAGGTGAAACAAAGTTTTGAGGCAGGATCCAAAGACTTTAGATAAAGGTCAACCATAGACCTACTTGCTCAAGATGCAACCCTCATAGAACTTATGATTTATAAACACAGACAAGATGATATAGTAGAATTCAGTGAGTCGAAAAATGGGATAGTTAACAAATTGGGGGAAATTTTTGAGGTAGGAATGGGAACTTGATGAATGCTGACCTTGGCCTTGTGAAACAAGTACTGGATGACAGAAATGGAACAATCCCAATAAGTTTATAAAACAAAAACTATGTCCTTCTGGGTGTGGTGGCACACACCCATAATCCCAGCTACTCAGAAGGCTGAGATAGGAAGGTCACAAGTTCAAGGCCAGTGTGGGCAACTTAGTGAGATCCCATCTCAAAACAAAATATAAAAAGGGGGAAGAAGAGAGGGAGGAGGAGGGAGGTGGCGGAGCTGTGGCAGAGGAGCAGGAGCAGGAGGGGGATGGAGAGAAGGCTCCTGGGTGGCATGGCACTCCTGCTCCTCCAGGCACTGCCCAGCCCCCTGTCAGTCAGGGCTGAACCCCCGCAGGATAAGGAAGCCTGTGTGGGTACCAACAATCAAAGCTACATCTGTGACACAGGACACTGCTGTGGACAGTCTCAGTGCTCCAACTACTACGATGAACTCTGGTGATTCTGGCTGGTGTGGACCATCATCATCATCCTGAGCTGCTGCTGTGTCTGCCACCACCGCCGAGCCAAGCACCGCCTTCAGGCCCAGCAGCGGCAACATGAAATCAACCTGATTGCCTACCGGGAAGCCCACAATTACTCAACGCTGCCGTTTTATTTCAGGTTGTTGCCAAACTATTTACTACCTCCTTATGAGGAAGTGGTGAACCGACCTCCAACTCCTCCCCCGCCATACAGTGCCTTCCAGCTACAGCAGCAGCAGCAGCTGCCTCCTCAGTGTGGTCCTGCAGGTGGCAGCCCTCCGGGTGCTGATCCTACCAGGGGCTCCCAGGGGGCACAGAGCAGCCCCTTGTCTGTGCCCAGCAGAAGCAGCACAAGACCCCCAAGCATTGCTGATCCTGAGCCCTCTGACGTGCCAGCTGACCGAGCAGCCACCAAAGCCCCCGGAATGGAGCCCAGTGGCTCAGTGGCTGGCCTGGGGGAGCTAGACCTAGCGGCCTTCCTGGACAAGGATTCAGAATGTAAGGAGGAGCTACTGAAAAATTCCAGCTCTGAACATGGCAGTGTGCTCCCCGATAGCAAAGACAAGACACCTGACAGACATCACCGCTTCACAGGTGACTCAGGCATTGAGGTGTGTGTGTGCAACCGGGGCCATCATGACGATGACTTCAAAGAGTTCACCACACTCATTGATGATGCTCTGGATGGGCCCCTGGACTTCTGTGACAGCTACCTCGTGAGGCCTCCTGGTGATGAGGAGGAAGGGCTCTGCCAGCCCTCTGAGGAGCAGGCTCGAGAGCCTGGACATTCCCACCTGCCTCGGCCGCCTGCGTGCCAAACTCCCAGAGCAGCAGCTCCCCCAGCTAGAGTAGGCTTTGCCTATGCCCGGAAACTTGGCAAAGCAACCACGGTAAGGGAGGCTCACGAGAGAAGCATTAAGTGACTTTCAGAGGAAGTGGTACAGCCACTTTTTTTCCCCTTCTCCTCTCCTGCTTTTCCCCTACATCTCCAAGTACAGTTTGGGGTGTGGGTGCCTCTCCCTCACAAAAGCACAGGATTGTGGAGTGCTGAGAGCCATAGCCAAGTAAGAATGACGCATGGCATTTTGGGTTGAAAGGTGACCCTGCTCAGGGATTAGGGTGGCTCTGGGTTTAGGGTGGATCCTGTTGGGAATAGGGCCGTATCCTGCTGCCTCAGGCACCCGCTCCTTGAGTTCCCGCAGGGTTCTGAGAGTATTGGTATGCAGAGCCCGGTGGAGGGAGTGTATTTTCCGAGAACGTGCGTGTAGAGTGCCGGTGAGAGTTCGGGAATAAAGAGTTGCTGTTTGAATCTACAAGGTGGTGTGGTGGCTCGGTTATTTTGTGCCCAGACAGACTGAGGCATTGAATAAAGAGTTGCTGTTTGAATCTACAAGGCTTTTGTGGTGGCTCGGTTATTTTGTGCCCAGACAGACTGCGGCAGTGGAGGGCTGAGAAGTTGGTTCCAAGACTCATTCCTCATCCCCTTCTTCCCTGCTTTCAAGTCATATCTCACCTACCTGCTTTGGTCAAAGAGATGTGTTTTAAAGCCCCCAAAGAAGGGGACTGGGACTGTGTCCTGCGATGATTCTTGGTGATGTAGTGGATTTATGCTCTGGTTTTAGTTTAAGAGAATTTTGTTGTGTCTCAGTTCAGCAGAAGCAACCCTTCTTAGCCCTGGTTGAAGAAGGAAGCCACAGAGGCCTAGGGATTGTCAGCTGTGGCTGCCAGTGTCTGCACCGCCAGAGTTGAGCTGATTCTGTGGGAGGATGAGAGCTAGTGGACAGGTTGGTAGGAGGCTTGTTGATCTCTCAAATTCAAGGTGACAAGAAAATGTACCACTGTGCATCCTGGAGGGGCCCCTTCCTTCCCAGCAGGCTCAGGTGAGGAAGAGTAGACTGCTTTTTCTTTGTTTAAAACAAAACAAAACAAACAACAAAAGCCAGCTAGAAACAAGAACCTTACCAGTGGGCTTGCAAGAATTCTCTTCTGGACAAGGGAAGTTTGTGCTTTCCCAGGTTAGCCTTCCACGAATGTGGCTGCAGTTGAGCCAGAGGGAGATGTTTGTGTGTGGGCTTGGAGTGGGTTAGCTCTGAGCAGTAGGCCCTAAATCTGGGAGTGGAGAGAAGTGCAGCTTCCTGCATCTCTGCCCTTTGGTCTGTGCCCACAGGTGACCAGTGTCCTTGTCTATCCCTAGCACATGGTCTGCAGGACTTTGTATCTCCTTGTACTCTTATGAACAGAGGGTCTGAGGAAGCTGTGGGTCCTGGGAAAAGCAGCCCCGTAGTCTGGTTCTCACACAGTATTTTCTCTTTGATTTTGAATAAGTCTCTTGTTGTTGTGTGTTTGTTTTAAACAAACTGACCACTTGGAAGAAATCCCTTGGTTATCTGTGGTTCTCATGCTCTCTCCCTGTCCCTAGCCCACGGGGGTCGGATGACTCACTTTTCTGTAACCTATGTAAGGAGTTTTGGTGGCCTAGGTGGGAGGTGGAGGCAGCCTCCAGAAGGACCACAGGATCCTTATTACTGTCATCTGGTTTTGGACAACCAGTTGAGCTTTGATAGGAAAACTCTGAAAGGAGAAAGCAATCAGCTGAAACTAACATTCCCCATCCATCCCTGTTCATATGAAAAGTTTGGTTCTTCTCCCACTTTTGAATGATGATATTCAGGCTAAGCATTGATGTTATAGTAAAAAAGGAGAAAAAAAATATATATATATATATATATATACACACAGACAAATCCAAGGCTGTGAGGTGAATGAGTGTCTGTTTGAATTCCACAGAACCAAAATTCATGTCGAACAAAGTGAAGTCTGTAGACGATGACTTTGAATGACCTGTAATGTGTGTGTGTGTCTCCTGTGTGTGTGAGCCCCACACCCCGTGTTCCTGTGAAGATACTTTGAATGGTAGCCATCCTGCTCACGTTAACCACACGTCTGAAGCAAACATGGCCCTCTCAAGGTAATTTATTTTATGCATTTACTGTTTACCGAACAAACGTCTGACTGTGTACTCGAGTGTATTTGGCAGCATTGTCGACGGCGCCCCCTGTGTTTGCCTGAGATACTGCGCTCAAGGTAGAGGTTCCACTCTGCTTATCACTGCAATTTGCACATTGCTCCGTGGACACTCAGAGGCTGTGTCCTGTCCCTGTTAATGGAAGCGTGCTCTGAACCTGTCTGCCTCCCTCCACTACTCCTTGCCTTCAGTCTCAGCCCCCAGAGGGTGTCTACAACCATTTGGGACAGAAAGCAAAAGTGGAATTCCAGACAGAAGCTTGACTGGTTATTCAGTGACAAGCTTGGCCTTGCTGTGGCCCAGACATCAGCCTGCCCAGAATTGCCAGGAGGCTTTGGCAGACTCCACGGTGCCACAGCACAGTCCTTCCTTTGCTGAGTTCAGTGGACACAGGAGGACTGGCGTGTGGCCAGAGGGGTGCCACAGCACAGCAGCCCTCAGATGCCTACCTTCCACCTTCCTTTGGAAATCACAGACAACTCACTGAAGTGTCTCCAAGGAGAACAAGTTTTACCAAAATGAATCCTTCTTCATTTAACTGATCAAATGGATGAATCTGACCCTCTAGGTTTCTTTCCCCAGCGGGGAGCTGGTCTGAGTATTGACTGTTGGCTTCACTGAAGCATCTTACCCTGAAGGTCTGAGAAGAAGCACAGTGGCCAAGCTGGGCTTAACTAGTAAGCCGTGGTTGGCCACGGCTGCTGGAGGCTTCCTGCTCAGAGAAGGAGACAGGGAACTGAAGGAATAGTCAGGGGGTCAGAGAGCCTAGGTTGAGTGTGGTTTTCCAGATGAATGAGAAGGAAAGGATTGGTGGAGGGTTTGGTGCTACAGTCGGAAGATTTGCAAATGCTAACACATTCCTGTGTGAGGCACATCACCATTTGCCAGTTATTGTGAATATGTGTATTTTAAGCAATAAGATTCAGCTGGTCAGATTTTTCTGGGCAGTCTCAGTGACGCATTTCCTGTGCTGTGACTGTTTTGAAGACAGAGTGGTTCTAACCACTGTGAGAAGGAATTGTGGGTAGAGTGTCGGTGAGAGTTCGGTAATAAAGAGTTGCTGTTTGAATCTACAAGGCTGTGTGGTGGCTCGGTTATTTTGTGCCTAGCCAGACTTCAGCACAAACCCAGTACCTCACACATGCTAGGCAAGTGCTCTACCACTGAGCCATAATCGCAGCCCATAATTCTTAGTTTTTATACTCAATGTTTATCTCGCTAAACAATTCTTAAGGAGTACCCATAAATGGTGTAAATATCTGACAACAAAGAAAAACTCAAACGCCAGTTATGTGTGGAAATGGTTGTAAGTTAATACACTAAGGCTGGAAAAATTTATAACTGACATGCAATTTATCAAAATCATAATAAAAACATATAGTACATAACATAATATGTACCGAGCACTAAAAGCTTTACACTGAACTACTGAGAATGAACTACCTCATTCATTTCCCATACAAACCCCAAATAGTATGTATTAAGTACCATTCCACTTTATAGATGAGGAAAGTAAAACAGCTTATCCAAAGACACAACTAGCATGAGATGGAGCCAGGATCTGGACCCAGGCATGTTGGCTACAAAAGCCTTGGCTACTCCTAAAAATATTAGACATGGTTGCTGCCCCAATGCAATATTACACATATTTTCCTACATTAAATGAAAAGGGAAAAATCCAGAACTAAATGATTTCAAATGAATAAAGGAAACAGAAAAGATTGAGAAGCAGAAAACAAAAACAAACAAACAAACAAAAAGTTAGAAGTCTTTAGGTGGTAGAACTGTGAGGAACTGTTTTTGCTTCTGCCCATTTTATAATATAATGAACATATATTACTTTGGTAACACATAAGAACATTTTTAAAAAGCCAAAAGGCTGGTAGAAGTGTCAAAAACAGTATTTCTAATACAATCACATGTCAAATTGTATCTTGGAGCTTCTGAAACTTACTTTATATGGCAAAAGTGAAACACAGAATAATCAAATAATCTTATTATTTTAGCTTAAAGAATATCTTTTTTTCTCAATAGTTCTTACTCAACCCTATAAAGACTATGTGCAATTCAAATGGATAAAATATACTATAGTAATTGGTAAAGAAGTATCAGGTGTGCTGGCTGTGGTGGTGCACGCCTATAATCTGCTTGGGAAGCTGAGGCAGGAGGATCACAGGTTCAAAGTCAGCCTCAGCAATTTAGCAAGGCCCTAAACAAATACAAAATAAAAAAGGGATATGTATGGCTCAGTGGTTAAGTGACCCTGGATTCAATCCCAGGTATAAATAAATAAATAAGGCAAAAAAATGGGTATCATTCTACAAGTATAAATATGATGGTAACATTCATGATATATAAACATCAGCTATATTCCTATTGTTTCAATATTATGATTTTCTGCTGTGCTTGGTGGTATGTACAACTTGGAAGGCTGAGGCAGGAATGCAAGACTAAAACCAGTCTCAGCAACTGATTGAGACCTTGTCTTAAAATAAAAATAAAAAGGACTGGGTGTGTAGCTAAGTGGTAAAGCACTCCTGGATTCAAATCCCAGTACCAAAAAAAAAAAAAAAAGCATGATTTAAAAATTTTTTTATGTAGATTAAGACTTAAGTTTATATTTATACAATAAAAAAAAAAAAGAGTGGAGCACAATGTACTCCCTTTCATTTTACCCCTTCTCCACGCTGTCATTCTTGCTTCTTTGCAATGGTCATGACATTAGAACTAATGAAATTACTATACACCCCTACTTTATTGATATTAGATGAACAAATAGTTGACAACCAACCAAAATGATTTTCTAAATTTGCTTCTCTGAAATTTAAGACACATTTTCTTAAATAAGTAATGTTAAAAATGACAGTCAAGTTCCCAAGCTAACATACAAAAGCTTATTTAACCCAAACTATCACTGCTAGAATAATCCTAAGGATGTCTTAGTTTAAGTACCTGAGTCCCTAAACCTGTAGGCGAGGAATAGAAGTGGAGGCCACCTCAACAGCTGTGGGTCAAGGAGACACAGGTGCTACAGCACAGCTGGGAAGACACTAATGTAGTGAATAGTCACAGGGCAGGGTCAGAATGAGGATGTAAGACTGATGACCTTTCTAATGTTCAAGTCAACTCTATTTTAGGTCAGCTGGAATTCTTAAAGCATGAGTTTTGTTTTATTGGATGCCAATGCCCTTTGTACTTATTCCTATGTCTGACCTTTGATTTAAAAACCTTAAATAGATTAGGTGTTTGTTTGAGTCGGTTTTCTAAACAAGACTCCAAATAAAATAGTTAAAAGACTGATTTCTTTCCTTTAAAAAACTCCTATGGTGCAGATGAAAGAAGAAGTCATAACTTTTAGGGGAAACACGGAAATATAAATTCAATCCTTTGTTAAGATATAAAGTTATATAAAACCCTGTACTAATGAAGTTCCTTAAGTCTAAAATTTAATTATTACTATTTTTTTTTTTTTACCAAAATGCTAACTGAAAGCCTTATCTCAGTTATTTTCTTAGGCTTCACAGCTTTCTCCATAAAGAACAAGGAAATGGTAGAGTGTACATTATGTGCAAACAAAGTTTGGTAATTAGTTGGCCAATGACTTCCTTCCTAATAGAAATTTAAATATCATTATTCACTAATTTAATAAAACTTGTGCTTGTCTGTTGAAAAAGAACTTAATTTCAGCACAGGATATATTTTGGGGCGTATGTGTGTGTAAACAGAATTAAAATAAAATCAAATCTGATATTATTTTTTTTTAAAAAAAAGCTTCTTTAAAATTACTATTCAACCTCTAACAAGTCCAGTTTTTAAAATGTACCTTTTTTATTTTGTTTTGTTTTGCAATACAGGGGACTGAACCCAAAGGGATCCTATCACTGAGCTACATCCTCAGCCCTTTTTATTTTCATCTTGAGATGGGGCCTTCCTGAGTTGCTGAGGCTGGCCTTGAACTTGCAATTCTTCTGCCTCAACCTTCCTGAGTTGCTGGGATTTCAGGTGTGTGCCACTATGCTCAGCTAAAATGTTCTGTTTAAAGTCTTAAAGCTCTAAACATTTGCTTCTAATATTGTGGCTCTTGAATACAAATTTTATCTGCAAAAAAGATCTAAAACAGTAAGGGAATCTTCTATATCTATAAAATAATATTAAGCTGTAAACAAGTAGAAAAAATAAAGGAATTTCCAAATTCATGAAGGAAATGAAGAACTTTCTCAAAACCATTAATAAAATCAGGGTGGGTATTGGATGGTGTTAAGAAATAGAGAATAGGGCTGGGGATGTGGCTCAAGCGGTAGCGCGCTCGCCTGCATGCGTGCAGCCCGGGTTCGATCCTCAGCACCACATACAAACAAAGACGTTGTGTCCGCCAAGAACTTAAAAAATAAATATTAAAAAATTCTCTCTTTCTCTCTCTCTCTCCCACTCTCTCTAAAAAAAAAATAGAGAATAACAATGTATAACATTTTAAATACTGTTTTACTATTTATAAAATATTTCCCATAAGAATGGGGGGAAGCACGATTTTATTATGAGATGAATTCCCTTACTTCCTATTAAAATTCCTAAATACAATCCTGATACTGACAGAATAAAATCTAAACTCCTCTGCAATGCCTACATCTTTAAAAAAAAATTCTTAGTTGTAGATGGACATAATACCTTTATTTTATGTGTTTATTTTTATGTGTTGCTGAGGATTGAACTCAGTGTCTCACACATGGTAGGCAAGTGCTCTATCACTGAGCCCCAGCCACAGCCCCAGCCCAATGCATAGATTTTTTTACAACATGATTCCCACCTACCTTCCCAAGCTTATTTATAGTCTCATCCTCCACCCAACTTCACTCTCAGGCTGAGGACCACAATTTCATTCCTCTAAGCTTACTTACATGGTAACCTCCAATTTGAGCAAATGCCTACTCATTCTTTATGTCTCAGTGTAAATCCTACCTTCATTGTGGAATCCTTCCTTTACTTCCTCATGTTGTGCCTGGTTCTAAACCTTGTTAGCATCTTTGCTTATATTTTGTACTTGGCTCCATCATATAACTGTATCTTAATATTTAAATGCCTAATTATTCTCCACATTAGAAAATAAGGACCATATTTTTCTTCTTTTTTAAACATTTTTTTAGTTCTCAATGGACCTTTATTTTATTTATTTATATGTGGTGCTGAGAATCGAACCCAGTGCCTCACATGTTAGGCAAACACTCTACCACTGACCCACAACCCCAGCCCCTTTTTTCTTCTTTTTATCTCTAGCATTAACCACACAACTTCAGCCACAATAAAGAAGGCAATCAAAACAAAAAATAAAAAGGTGGTGTTGAATGGCCTCTTAAGAGTAAAGTGGAAATTTAAGTATTTATAGCTTTTCTGTAAAAAAAAAAAATCTAGAGCAAATTTTCAGCAGAATTATTGGCAATTTGAAAATCTCAATGCAGAAAATAATCACAATTTTATAAGAGTAGAAAACAATCTTATGCTTAAAAAAAGATTGGAAGAAAAGTATCCAAATGTTAACAGTATCAAAGTGTTAACAGTGGGGTTAAGGTTGTGGCTCAGTGGCAGAGCACTAGCCTTGCACATGTGACGCACTGGGTTTGATCCTCACCACTACATAAAAATAAATGAATAAAATAAAGGTATTGTGTCCATCTACAACTAAAATAATATTGAAAAAAAAAAGAGAAATGTCACAGTGATGTTTTTAGAATGGTGAGAAGATAGAGGCAATCCCTTTCTCCCCCTGCCCTTTTTAACTGCTTTCTAAAAACTCTTACAATGCTTAACCTAAAATTGTTTTTATAAGTTGGCTTTGGCCCTCTAAAAAATTAATGACAACACTAAACATCAAAAATTACCAAACCAAATAGTGAGAACTTACCACCACACCACTCCAAACATGGAGACAAATGATGAGAATCTAGAACCTTGTTATCCCAAAGGAAGTAGAAGGAAATGATATAGGCTGTACTAGCTTCCAATATATTGGATTTTATGATTATTCTTACTATATATTCCTATCCTGCTTTGATCATCTCTCAAAATCCAAAAAAGAGACTTATATGAAACAATAAACTATGCATTAACAGATTAACAACTAAAGGAGATGCCAAGTAAAATTAGATATGGGCTCCATCTTTAAGCAATTTACAGTTTGGTGGGAGAAAACTAGCCAAAACACTAAAAGGATATGACTGGGTGATAATTTATGTATTATAGACAAAATATTGGTAAAACCAACATATAAATATTATTACCTGATAAACAGGCACAGTCTGAGAGAGTATTTTGTTTTTAGATCAGAAAGATGAACTGCTTCCACTATGAGTTACAAGTATCAAACTATCATGAAGTTTTAAAGGCTTACTTAGAGTTTGGTTTCAAGCGTGACAGCAACTGGAGCAATAAAATCCAATTTGAGACGGTCACTTTTCTAAGGGTTAAAAACTATCTACAGAAACAAATTATACCTGAGATTTTTGCTTTTGGGCTTCTACTCCTGGGAAGAGCTCCATCCAGAGACTGAGCAGAGTGAAAAGGTTGACTTTAGAAAGTCTTGGCATTTGACCTACAAAGGAGAGGGCAAACACTTCAGAATTTTACTAAAGATGAAAATAGGAACAAAGCTCAAAGCCACTTGGATACAGCAGCATTCGCTTAGTAGCTTTAGCAGGGGTTTAGCGGACAAGAGGAGAGCTTTTATGGCAGGAGTCGCTACAACCTCACTTGAGGCGACCTCCCACGACACTTTCCAAAGTTGGACCCATTCTCTTCTTCCCTCGCCCGGCAGAAATAAGTAATACAACAGATACACGTAGTTATGGGAACAATCCAAAAAAAGTTGGGGCAAGTCCTTGAGCGTGATGGTGGAGCGGGCTGTTCTCCGGACAGTGATGAGGGGTTGCTTCAAGAGCAGTGAGCAGAACACGGCACTAAAAATGGCAAAGCGTCACGCGCGGCTATTTTGGGAATCAAGATAAAAGCGAAGGGCTTTTCAGCCCCTGGGGTCCTAGCTCTTGGTCCTTCGAGGAAAACAAGGCTGGACGCGGGAAATGAGCGCGACTTAGAATTTGTGTGCTTTGAGAAGCCGGAGCGGCCGATCCGGAGGGGACGAGACACCCGGAAGCGGCGGGGCGGGCGAGCAGCGGAGGCAGGGAACCGGAGTTCAATCCGGGCAGGGACGCAAGGCAAAGCCAAAGGCGGGGTGGCAGAAGCAGGGACCCCGGCACTCACCGGTCATGCTGCCAGTCTGGGTACTGACTGACCGCCCGGCCCCCGCGCTCTCCAGATTTTGCATCTGCCCTGCTTCTTTCACCCCAAGCCCACCAGCCTCTGCTGCCCGGGAAAGCTCTCCCTGTTAGGCATGATCCTGACCCAGCAGCTCCCCTCTAGCCTCCTCCCAGCAACTGGTAAGCAGTGATCTTACTCGGCGCAACCGGGTGACGTCTCCAGCCTGACGGCTACTTCCGGGCGCCTTGATGACGTCAGGGCGAGGCCCGGGACTGCGCTGGGCTGCGGGTCGGACGAGAGCGGCGGGTGGGATTGAAGCGCCGAGCTGCAAAGTGTTTGCAGTTTCTTTTTGCTTTTCGTTTTTCTTGATTTTGCCGAAATAAAGTCACTCGAGGATTTCTTGGCCTGAGGTCTCAGGCTGCGCGGACCGATGAGGCGACTGGCTGTGTAGAGTTGAAAATTTGGCTCAGAGAGCCAAGGAGTGTTGGAGTGGAAACCAGCCCTCTCTTGTCGTGGTCATGGTTTTTGAGAACCTGAGCGGGTGAAAAGGGGTTAGGAGTTGGGCGTCCCAGGAGGTTGTTCTGATCAGAGATTGGCGGGCCTTGGGGAATGTAGGGCCACGGAACCCAACGGGGACGTTCTGTTTCTTATCCAGAACATGAAGACGAGAGGAACTCCAACTGGGAAAAAAATGTGAAGGGAGGAAGGAGAAACGAGTGGTCTCTGGAAAATCTGAGGAGTAGCCTGGCATTGTGGCTTTATGCCAAAACATTTTATTCTAGTGCCCTAGACGTGACTCAAAATTAGGCCCCTTTCTTTACAGTGACTCAGAGCCCAGTTTCTGTCAACATCTCCCGTTATACAATTTGAAATATGGATGTGTAGCAAGACACAAACTTGAGTTCAAACTATGAAAGCAAAATTTAAACATTATGAAAATCCATCATTTTGAAAGAACTAAAGAGAATCTTTTCAGTGTTGAGGATGTGGCTGTGGTTCATTACTATATAGTATTTCATTGTAGGTATAGATCACCATTTATTTGAGTGGAGGAACATTTGGACCAGCTCCTTGCTTCAACAACTTGTTGTAAACAAACAAGAAAATGCTTCATGTTTATATGCAAGAGTTTCTTTAGGGACCACATTTGGAAGCAGAATTCTTGGGTGGTTACTGTCCAGTTTATTAGAAAATGTTCAAGTGTTTTCCAGAGGAGCCTATTACATAATACTGTTTTTTCCATCAATTCTTGGTACCACCAGACTTTAAATGTTTATCAGTCTGAGCCATGTGTGGTGGTTCAGGCCTTTAATTCCAGCTACTGAGGAGACTGAGGCAGGAGAATCTTGTTTGAGGCCAGCATGGGGAACATTGCAAGACCCTGTCTAAAAAAAGAAAGATGGAAGAAAGGTAAGACATATAAATGTGTACCTATCTGGTTGATTTATTTTATTTTTTATTGATTTTATTATTTTTTTAAATACACGACAACAGTGGAATGCTTTACAATTCTTATTACACATATAGAGCACAATTTTTCGTATCTGTATATAAAGTATGTTTACGCCAATTTATGCCATTAAACATGTACTTTGTTTTTTTTTGCATTACAATTCTTAATACACATATATACCACAATTTTTTATATCTCTGTATATAAGGTATGTTGACACCCAACTCAAGTCTTCATACATGTACTTTGTATAATAATGACCATCACATTCCACCATCCTTGCTAATCCCCTGCCCCCTTTCTTCCCCTCTTCCCTATCTAGAATTAATCTAATCCTCCCATACTCTCCCTCCCTATCCCACTATAAGTCATCCTCCTTATATCAGAGAAAACATTTGGCATTTTCTTTTTTGGGATTGGCTAACTTCACTTAGCATTATCTTCTCCAACACCATCCATTTACCTACAAATGCCATGATTTTGTTCTTTTTTAATGCTGAGTAAAATTCAATTGTGTATGTATGCCACATTTTTTTTATCCATTTATCCCCTGAAGGACATCTAGGTTGGCTCCACCGTATAGCTATTGTGAATTGTGCTGCTATAAACATTGATGTGGCTGTGTCCCTGTAGTATGCTGTTTTTAAGTCCTTTGGGTATAGTCCAAGAACAGGGATAGCTGGGTCAGATGGTGGATCCATTCCCAGATTTCCAAGGAATCTCTGTACTGCTTTCCAAATTGGCTGCACCTATCTGGTTGATTTAAAGTGGTATCTTGTGGTTTTATTTTCCTTGATTTCTATTTAGATTGAACATCTTGTCTTATGTTGAGTAGTCATACATATTTCTTTTCTATGAAATACCCATTAACTGTCCTACCTGATTTTTATTATTATTGATTAGTAAGCATTCCTTATTATTCTGGATATTCATTATCAGTTGGGTATTTATCTGGTAAAAGTCTTCCCTCCCTTTTGACTTGCTTTTACACTTTATGATATCTTTCAGAGCACAATTCTTTATTTTAATGTGTCAAACATACCAATTATTTTATTTAATGATATTTTATCTGTGTCTTTTTAAAATATTTTTTCCTGCTCAAGGTTATATGTTCTTTTATATCTTCCTCTAAAAGTCATAAGTTGTTTACTTCACATTTCAGCCTCGTGAATGTAGAATTCATTTCTGTGTGTTGTGTTATAGTGTAAGTATGGCTTTAGGCCTTAGCCTAAGCAACTCCATTTTAAAACTCCATCTTAAAATAAACCTGCAGTCTTACCGGGCAAACCACAGAGTCCTTCAATATGTCAATCAGGTATAGCCTGATAAAAACAAGTCACTTTCCACAACCATGGTAAGAGTCAGGGTGAAGTCATGTCATTTGTCATAACTGATAAGAGTCAGAAGGGTATCAGGGCAGAAACCACCAGACCATATGTCCTGTCTAAGATGTAAGATGTCACTAAGAAACCTGGTAACAATTGATAGGGACCCAAAGGGCGAGCAGAAGCTCCCCAAATTTAACAAAAATATTGGAGCAAATGAACAGACATTCACCAGCTGACACTGATGCACACAAGCCTGAGAGCCTGATGAGGACCTAGTCTGACATCCCAACTCTTCTCATCATCTGCCTAATCCTCTGCATTGTCCTCATCACTCTCAAACTCTACAGCAGCCTTTTGACCCTGGTAAGAATGGCAATGTCTCCTTACCAGCTGTCACCTCCACAGCAGAAGAAGCCTTCATCAGTTCCTGACCGGATTGCTGCAGTCTGAGTAAGTATGCATCTGCTGGACTTAAGATCTAAGTCTTAAGACTTTAAATCTAGCACATAAGTTTAGCATGCAAAGGGAATGTCTGTAATAAGTCTGTTATGATTAAGAGTGTTTGCAGTGCTTAGAGTTAACTTAGAATTTGTTTGCTTTGAATTAGTTGTATTTATTGCTTGTATCAGTCTGGATTATTGTTTTTGTAGTGCTCAGCATTAAGGATTGTCATTTTCTTGATTAAGAAGTAAAATTATATTAAGTGATTTCAGTGAATAAAACATTGAAAAGGGCAGAAGTGTGCGGACATTCTTTATTTCTCCCCCTTGACTGCATAAGTCACACCTTTGCCCATCGTGACATATAGGGGCCAAATTTTATTTTCCATTTGTATAATCAATTATCCTAAAACTATTTCATCATCGATCTGCACTGAAACTTCTGCCATGTGTCAAATTTCTATGTATATGAGTTTGTTTCTGGGCTTACTTATGTTCCCCCCCCCAAAAAAAAAACCACTTATTCTTTAAAAATGTCTTTGATATTCTTGGACCTTTAATTTCCCATGGAAGTTTTAGAATCCTATTGTTCACATTCTTCAAAAAATTTCATTTGCATATTGATTGCAAGTGTATTGAATTTATAGGTAAGTTTGAGATAGTTTTCCACTTCACAAACATGGTATATCTATATGAACATGATTTTCAAAAAGGTTTATAACTTTTCTCCAAAAATATATATGTAGGCATGTTTTTAAAATTTTATTATTATTTTTTGGTGCCAGGAATTGAAACCAGGGCCACTTAACCAGTACTGAGCCACATCCCAGTATTTTTTATGTTTTGAGACAGGGTCTTGCTAAGTTACCCAGGCTAGTCTCCAATTTGGAATTCTGCCTTAGCCTCTTGAGTAGCCGGAATTACAAGTGTGCACCACTGTACCTGGCAAAGGAAATTATTTTAATAATCAACTTTCAATTATGATTTTTGTTGTAGGGTATTCATACCTGTCTTTACCAAAGTTCTTTTTATAAATCAGATGTTGAATTATAGCAAATGCTCATGGTCAATGGCTTTTATCAATTTAATAAAAGTCTATCCTGTGCTGGCCTACTGGAATTATTGTCATGATAAATATTGAATTTTATCAAATACAATCTCTGAATCTATTAAGATGTCTCAATCATATGTTTGAGACAACTTTTTCGCCACTGGGACCAAAAGATCTCACAAGAATCATTTTAGAGGCGGAAAAGTTTATTTGGGGCTCGCAGTTTCAGAGGTTTCAGTCCACAGTAGGCTGTCTCCTGCAGGGTTTCTGTTCTCGAGACTAAAAGGCTCAGGGGTCGATCCAGTTGAACTGGGCTAACTGGGCTGTGCAAAATAACCACACAAGAGACACAAATACTTTTTTCTTTGGGGTCGCTGTGACGGCTCCTCTAACCTTAAGGGTCTGCAGGAAGAGAGAGAGAGCAGCGCTGACCCCTTTTGTTGAGGAGAAGCTATTCAAATGAGGCAAGGGGTCAGGTTTCAGAGGGCTGAGTCTATCTTCATGATGTCCACTGTCAGCAGGTTGACTGACACCTGGGTAGGCCACACCCAAGGGCACAGTAAGAGAAGGGGACACACACAAGGCACTTCCGTGGAAGATTCTATCCTAAACAGGGCAAGGGGTTATATTACAAAGGAACAGGTGAGCATAGCTTCACCCATAGGGCTGTAGCAAGACACACCCATGCTCCAGACACCGACCCTCGCACCCAGGAAGGGTGCCACATTTCTGCGACTGAGAGCCTCAGCACCCAGCCGGGGAGTGTCACCCAGTCACATACAAGGTTGGTCTCCCACAGTCTCCATTGCTCTGGGCCCACGGTGAGGCAGAACATCATGGAAAAAGAGTGTAGTGGAGGAAAGCAGCTCAGGACATGACCACCAGGAAGCAGAGAAAGAGAAAGCTCTGCTCATCAGGGACAAAATCTATACCCCAAAGAC